TGATGTCGGTGAGGAAGGAGTGTGGGCGGAGCCAGACCAGTGCCGAGAGACATCGGCGCTGGATTCAGGTTAGTGACTTCAGCGCCGCGGGAGGGGGGTGCGAGGTAGAAGGGCACTGTAGGAACCTATAGTGCCATGGAAAACGGCTTTGTTTTCCTGGTACTATAGAATCCCTTTAACTTTGGAAATGCTGCTGTAAAAGCCTAGAAATGAATCTGATAGTCGAAAAATGGCTACGTTGTGAATTTTTTAATAATCTACATGCCATGTAGGAAGTGCCCATTCAATGGGTGGTATTCCTTACCTTTTACAAACAGATATTACACAACGAGAACCGAATGTTCGTTTTCTTGTTCCGTAGTTTAACTGATACCATTTTGCAATAAAAACCACAGGGGTCTGCAAGAGATGGAAAGAGTGAGGGGTTAGGAAACAGACAGAGATAATTAGCAGGAAACAGTTGAGAAGATTGTCTTTTCACTAAATATCTTTACAGATTAACACACCGAGTGTTTACAAACTTCTGCAGTTTCCCCCTTTTTCATGTCCCTAGATGTCATAAAGATAAGCCTGGAATATTATGTGAAAATTGGGCACAGTCATCCCGCTTATCAGGTACCCTAATACTTTAAAATATGGTTACATTCACCCTCACCATTCTGTTGGAACTACAAGTCATATCATGCTTTGCCATTCATAGTTTGACAGAGTACTGTCTATTCTGACAACATCTTGTGAAGAATCTGCAGTTCCATGTCCTTGTTATTTAGAAATATGCCAAACTCTTGCCTAACTGTTAATGTATTTTTTCTAAAGTTAATAAGCTGACTACTTACTTTTTATTCTGTCTGATTGAAAGCTGGGAAGGTGCACCTCCGCCGCTCAACAAAGAGTGAAAAGAGGGGAAAATCTGTTATGCTGTAAACCACTTCAGCATGCTGAAGTGCCTTGGGTGTTTGGAGTGTTTCCTTATAGGTAAATGTTAGTCCTATAGTGCCCCCCTCCCCGTGGTGCAGAAGGATTTAAAAAAACCTTTTGTCACTTACCTCAGTCCAGCACTGATGTCCCTTGCTGCTGGCTCACGTCCGCCTTCACTCCTTCCCTGACGTCGATGGGGAGACCTTGCATTTGGATTTCCACAATCGGAACGCATAATACAATTCTTTACTATGGGGATTCCGGTGACGCTGGATGTCCTCATGCATAGCGTGAGGAAGTCCAGCATCAGTTAGGCGACCAAAAGTCACCTGAGGACCCAGAAGTCCCTGTTGTGGCTGCCTGGTAGACAGCCACTAGAGGTGGAATTACCCCACAAAGCTAATATTGCAGTTTATAAAAAAAAAACTGCAATGATTATCTTTGCAGGGTTAAGAGATCTGGGAATATGAACCCAGACCACTTCAATTAGCTAAAGTGGTCTGGGTGCCTATAGTGTCCCTTTAAATAGTGATTTGAAGTGGTCATAGTGCTAGAAGTATGCATGTGCAATGTTTCAACCTGAAACACTGCAAATACTGAGCTAATTTTAATTGTGGGCTGGAGCTAGTGGCACCCCCAGCACACATGAGTTAGGCAGCCCAGAACAGTGTCAATTCTGTGCATATTTTCTGTCTGTCGTCAATGTAAACAGCAAGCTGGTGTCAGACATGATAATCTTCTCCGTTACAGGCAGAACCCCTACAAGGGGAAGATAACACTCCCCTCCCACCTCCCTTAGTTACAGACATAGATTCTTTTTTAAATTACCCTCCCTCCCCTCGCCGGCTCAGATTGTGCGCAATAACCGGCTTCTGTATGATCTAATTCATAGTAAGCTTATTGAGCAGGGCCCTCAACTCCTCTGTTCCTATGCATCCACTTGTGTTTGTTTGTGTTGGAAAATAAGATAACGCTTTATGATGCCAATGTGCTTTATACCTGCAAATATAATGAGAGCACAGGAAATGATCAGAGCCCTCTTTCATGGCTTATAAGGATGCACAATTCCACTGTATGCCCACTGCTATCACTATGTAAAGATGCCAGTCTAACGTGTCACTGTCAATACTGGGTAACAAGTAGCTGTGTAATGGCGGGTGCAATATATTGGGTCCCTATAATTGAAAGCAATGACTATCATTCAGCATATTATTGTACTACGTCTGTTTCACTCAGTGTGGTTTAATTTATTGAGTATTATAAAAATCCATTATAAGCAATATGACATCCAGGACACGACAGATACCATGTTTATAGAGGTTTATAGCATTCATGTCCCACAGCTGTTCACTGGAATGCCAAATTCCAATGAAGAAGGGCATCAAATTTCCTTCCTTGTAGACCAAAAGACTGACCCCGCAGCTGTTACATTGCACCTTTGTTACACATAATCTGTCCAACCTTAGAGTGCCACGATAGGCAGAGCGAGCTGAGCTAACAACCCCAAGCACTCGCTGTCCAAGCCTCACTGCCACATTATCCAAGCATGGGCCGGCTTTGGATTACGGGAACAAGATTGTTTTTTTTTTTTGTCATTTAGTTATTGATGCTCCTAGACATTTTCACGTCATAATAATAGCCCTTACAGATGACTGGGACAGGAATTTGGCCAACCGTCTTGTAGGAAACGGATACCTCCCAACATTTCTAATGGACAAAGAGGGGCACTTTAGTCACTTAGACCACTTCAGCTCAATGAAGTGGTCTGGGTGCCAGGTCCCACAGGTTTTAAAATTGCATTCAGCGTGCAGAACGTCCATAGGAAAGCATTGAGAAATGCTTTCCTATTGACTGTCTGAATGCGTACGTGGCTCTTGCCGCGCATGCGCATTCCATTCCACTCAGGAGCTGACGTTGGCGGGGGAGGAGAGGTCACCAGCGTCGAGGGAGCCCGGTGCTGGATAAAGGTAAGTGGTTGAAGGGGTTTTAACCCATTCAGCCCAGTGATCCTCTGGAAGACAGCCACGAGAGGCTGGATTAACCCTGCTATTTAAACATAGCAGTTTCTCTAAAACTGCTATGTTTGCATCTGAAGGGTTAAAACCTGGGGGACCTGGCACCCAGACCACTTAATTGAGCTGAAGTGGTCTGGGTGACTATAGTGTCCCTTTAATTTTAAGGGTTTGAATAGGGGTGTTGCCAGGAGCGTGGCTGCTCTAAGAAATGTTATATGACTTACTAATAACAATTTATGCAACTGAAATGTAATTTATTATGAGAACAATGTATCATATTTACACATGATTTTGAAAAACCTTACGTTATATTAAAAATGCTCATCATTATTAGACATAAAAATTTATTTTATATATTATATTAAATAAGGATACAAACTACTGATTTCTCTCTACAGTGAGAGCACTATTAGGGAATTTTTGTAATTTAGTGTTCTACAGTTGTTTAGTAGAAAGGTGCCCTGGAAGGCATGTTAGGGCTACTTAGGGTATTTATATAGTTTATATGTTTGGTGTGTTCTGGTGTGCTTAGTTGCACATATGTTTTTTTTCTGATTCTTAGTGATTATTGAATTAGCTTAACTGTTCTTCTCTTAAAGAAATTCTATAGTGTAAAGAATACAAAGCTGCCTTCCTTACACTATAGTTCCCTGTACCTTGCAGTCCCACCACCCCAGCACTGCAGCACTTACCCACGCATGCGCAATAGCCCTCCTGTCAGATGACTTTGGAGGAGATAGAGTGCCGATCCATCGCCAGTTGGCGATCTGTCTCCTCTGACGTCATCTGAGTGAGGTGGGGGGGGAGGAGGTTATGCGCATGCGCAACAAGAGCATTAGGCCGTCCCCATTGGAAAGCTTTGCTGCAAAGCTTTTGTATTTGGGATTTTACTGACGTTGGATGTCCTCATGCAGAGTGTGAGGACCTCCAGCATCAGGAAAACAAAAAGTCGCCTAGCAAGCAAGAAGCGCCTCTAGTGGCTGTCTGACTGACAGCCATTAGAGGGAGTTTTAGTCCTGGAATGCAATTATTGCAGTTTCTTTAAAAGCAGGACTATGGGGGGCAGAGACATTGCACCCAGACCATTTCAATGAGCCACTATTAGGTGCCATAGTGTCCCTTTAATCTTATTTACACAGACTGATTTCTAAACACATTTATTGTGACTTAAAGACACATTACTGGGAGTATTATTGCTGTGGAGCTCTGTTATACACTCAGACACATTACTGGGAGTATTATTGCTGTGGAGCTCTGTTATACACTCAGACACATTACTGGGAGTATTATTGCTGCGGAGCTCTGTTATACACCCAGACATATTACTGGGAGTATTATTGCTGTGGAGCTCTGTTATACACTCAGACACATTACTGGGAGTATTATTGCTGTGGAGCTCTGTTATACCCTCAGACACATTACTGGGAGTATTATTGCTGTGGAGCTCTGTTATACACTCAGACACATTACTGGGAGTATTATTGCTGTGGAGCTCTGTTATACACTCAGACACACCAACAATATGGAGCTCCTAGAAAAGAGGGACATTAGGATAGAAAATAGGCATAGAGGGATTTGGATAATAGGGACTATCCCTACTAAATAGGGACACTTGGGAGGGATGGAAACGTGCCAACTTATGATAGTGACACATAGACAGTCACTGAGCTCAATAATGCAATTCATTGTATTGCTAGTTTGTCTATATAAGTTTTGTACATCTCTCAGCAAAAGCTAAATAGTGGTGGCAGTATACTAGAAATACAAACTAAATTATTTTACTGCATTCAAAAAAAATAATACCTAAAATAACTGATCCGTGGTGTGCCTGGGTTTAGAAAGCAGCAGGATATCCCTAACAGCTCTTCACCCATTACTAGAAATTGGGTTTTTGAGAGTAGTAAGATGGCTGGGTCCTGACGTCAGCAATAACTGGGAACGGGTTTTCATGAGAGTAGTAAGATGGCCGACGACGAAAAAGCACGCTTTTGAACTACATCTCCCGTGATGCTCGCGTGAGAACGTACTGTGGGCCAGCCAGCGGCACTGCCCCGTGTACAGCGCAGTCCGCGCATGCGCAGTGAAGAAGCCGGGCAGCATGGCGGATAATTCGGTGTCAGAGTTACTATTACAGAGACTCCAAGATGGGGACTGTCAGGGTCTGGATAGTCTGGAACTGGCCTCCATATTGGGGGTGGATCATCAGCAAGTGGTGGGGGCTGTGAAGAGCTTACAGTCCCTGGGAGAGGTGAGATCAGCTGGGGGCACAGGGTAATGCAATAGTATGGGCACAATGTTAATTTAAAGGGCTGTCAAAATCTGTGTCCTCCATAACATGCAGACTATCCCTCACACTGTGCATGTTACATACCATACCATACCAATGTCAATAATAACATACATTATCTTTCTTCATTTCATACACCAACCCATTTATATGGATAGAAGGCTAATAATGTTTTGTAGCAGGAGTAGGCAACTTTGGGAACTTCAGAAGTTTTGGACTACCATCTGCCCCTGTTGCTTTGCCATCATTATGTGCTAAGAGCATTATGGGTGATGTAGTCCACAACATCTGGTGTAGCGAAGGTTGTCTACTCCTGTTCTATCCAGCCTAATGCCTGGTAAGAAAAACTAACTACATAACTAAAAGTTAGCAGTGGGTTGTGCTTTCTTTTACTTTGGAACAGAATCATGTTTAAATTTAAAAAATAAAAAAATTTATGCCTGCCCTGTGATCATGAGTTTTTATGAAAGGCATCATTGGGGTACCACTTTGTGAGAGGAGAATGCTGGCGTCCCATGTAGTGGGTTGATGTCAGCGCCAGTCCTTGGAAGTGCGGCATTTTATACTTTATAATGCCCACTTCTGCTTCCTTTGATTGGCATTTGCTTTCATTCACAAACCTCTTCAATGAAAGATGTATCCATAACTGCTTTACATTTCCATGTCAATATTCCCTTGATGCATATTTCTGAAAGCTGGACAATGCTGGCACACAATTTTATCTTTACCAACATATATATTTCTAAGACCCCTGCGGGTCCAATTTGGCTATTTTGCCCTGAACTTTGAATTCTCACTTTTGTGAATAACTTTGATAGTGTTCTAAAGTCCGTGCCGTCTGCACTTCTGTATTGCTGTTTTTCTTTTTTTGATTATTCTAATACGTTGACGCTATTAATGTCTCCATGTAGATTATTGAAGCTGAGCAGAAATCCAGTAAACGGTGGGAGTTGACCACGGAAGGTGAAGAGATTGCACGGGAAGGCAGTCATGAGGCCAGAGTCTTTTACAGCTTGCCCAAGGAGGGCCTGGCACAGAGTGAGCTCATGGTGAGCCTATGAAGAATGACTTTCAGAAGTACATAATGACCACTTAATAACTTAACACAAAACTATAATTCAGCGATTAGGTGAAATGATTACAGTCCAATGGTAGCTCAAACACCAAGTCTCTCTCTTCCGATCGAGAGCTGGGTAAAACAGGGGGTAGGTGCAGCACCTAAATAGTCCTTATTCTGGTATATCTAATGACAAGAATAAAAACCAGAGGAAAACAGAGTAATATAGTAAAACTATAGTTGGTATAAATAAGATAAAAAAATGTGCACTCACACGTTTATGGCGCTTCAATGCAGCTCCAACTTCTGCACATAAGTTGAAGTTCCATAAAAGTGTGAGTGCACATTTTTTCATCTTATTTATACCAAATATAGTTTTAAGATAAAAAATGTGCACTCACACTTTTATGGAACTTCAACTTATGTGCAGAAGTTGGAGCTGCATTGAAGCGCCATAAACGTGTGAGTGCACATTTTTTTATCTTATTTATACCAACTATAGTTTTACTATATTACACTGTTGTTTTCCTCTGGTTTTTATTCTTGTCATTAGATGTACACTAATAAGGGCTATTTAGGTGTTGCACCTACCTCCTGTTTTATGCAACTTTAACCTAATACCGAACAGTTGGCTTCAGAAAAAGTATTGGGATAGATTAGAAGTCTGTATTGGTAGAAACCTGCCTGCCGTGTGTATAAAACTTGAGAAAGTTACATTTTAACCCCTTAAGGACACATGACATGTGTGAAATGTCATGATTCCCTTTTATTCCAGAAGTTTGGTCCTCAAGGGGTTAAAGAACCTATTATTTTTTTTTATTTATTTTTTTTGTAATAAAACTCATTTGGAAAAAAAATGCACCCATTACAGAAAAAGAATAAAAAATGCTCAGGTAGCTGGTGTGTTTTGTGACCCATGCTGTGTACATATTCACGTTATATTTTATTAAATATCTCTGTAGAATGCACTGTTTATGTATGTTTGGATATATCATGGCGTGCATTTATTTGGCTGTGTCTCTGTTCGCACGCGTTACTATGTGTGAATTATTTATTATAGATCTTGTATAACAAACCACCTGTTCTCTCTCATAGAAACTGCCTATAGGGAAGATTGGCTTCAGCAAGGCCATGTCTAACCGCTGGATCAAACTGGATAAATCTGCAGCTGGAGGTCCGAGGGTCTTCCAGGCAGTAAGTGTCTATGCCGTCACCTGAGTCTATTCTCTGTGTGTGTGTATAAAAACTATTTAAATCTATTTATTTATTCATTTTCTTTTATCCTTTCTACTCGTTGCTCAGGCTTTATACTTTATCTGTCCAAAAAATTTTTTCACTCTCACCCATCTTTTCTCTGGCCCCGATCTTTGTCCCTTTTTTTACCTCCCTAAACCTGTCTTCAAATTTGACAAACTATATCATTTATCCGCCAAGCTGTAATTTTTCATGTAGTTAGCAAACCACTGTAGATGGTACTCTGAAGTGGCACCATAACCACAACACCTGACATTCTCAGTGAATAATGTCCAAAGTTGAGCTAAACTGATAGTGCTAATGCTGTAGTAGGGACTTCCGATTTAGCATATTAGTGAGGGTCGGAGTGACGGTGAGCATCTGACAGAGCCAATAAAATATCAGACCAGTCGTGAATGCTTTCATAGCTCACTGTGGATCAGCGTCAAAAGCCTTCTGGCTCCTTAGCTGCCACAAGGCTCTAAAGTCAGATGGGAACTGGTTGGGTATGATTACCTGGGATAATCATGATATATTCTGCCCTCACATTGTGTTTTAAGAATAGTCTTTTTCACTGCTTCATGCAGCAGTTATACTGTCAGTAGTCTATTTTCTGTCCTCTTTTGTTTGTTTTTATCAGTTACGCAGCGGTTTGACAAAAAACGGGGCATTCACCCAGACACTTATCCTTCATTACCCGACGATGTGGAATATGCTTAAAAACATTATCCATAACCTCGTCACAGCACTAGCGATACTTAAGCAGGTTCTCTGTTTAATTATTGGATGACCTTGTGATTTGTTTATTCATGTCCTGATTTTCCTCCCGATGTAGGTTGACTCAGTGGACGATAGCGTGAAGGAGAAGCTTCAGTTGGTCCTGCAAGGAAAGACTGAGAGCATCAATGAAAAAGAAAGGAATGAGCTGAAAAAGAGGAAACTGCTCAACGAAGTGTGAGTGCGGAACTGTGTTGGGTTATAAAACTGCTAAAATTAGTTTCTTCTTAAATTTCATTTTAACATAAATCATCCCTAAATGCATTTAATACATTGTATATAACAGATACATGATGTATTCAATGTAAAGATTTGAGATATTAAAGGTACCCTATACATGTATTCCTAACGCTGTAGTGTAGTGGCAAAACACTGCGTCAATCAAATGCTCTCTAGTATAGTAGTTTGAGCTTGTTAACTCGTATATCTGTGGAAGTGCTCACAGCCACTAGATATGTTAAAAATGCAATGAACAAGCAACTTTATTATTTCTGTGAAACAGCGGTGTTTTCAGTTGCAGAGTTAAACAGACAGGTACATGGCACCAGACCACTTCATTGAAATGTCTGGTGCCTATAGAGTCCCTGTAACTTCTTTCCTCTGATTCTGTGCCACGTATCCTCATCTTTGTGGTTGTTACTCTTCTGTAAGTACCGGATTCTGGACTGCCTTTGTTCTATCCAGTTTGTTTGCCCTGATCAGGGAATCTTCTGAATTTAGGGAAAACCTCCTCTGCGCTGCTGACACACAGGATTTGACAGCGTTGGGACGGAGTGAAATCTGTCACTTAGTTCCTTTACTTTCTAGCCAGCGCTAGCAGAGCCAGAAATTACAATAACCACCACAGAGCATGTGCTAAGCTTGGTGAACGAAGGGGCTGTCAGTGGGAGGGCTCTTCTGCTCTTCTTAAATCTGACTGACAGGTGGGAGAAAGACCTGTCTTTAAATAGGTTTTCCTCCCTGTCTATACATTGCCAGCACAATTTATTGATTCAATTTTATGCTCTGTCAGAAAAATTCATTCGTTGTAGGTACTATAAGAGGTACCCTTTAATCATTCCAATGACAGATCCTCATTCATTATTTAACAATGTCCTGACCAACACGTAATGGTTTGGATGATATTCAGTAAAACAGAACATTCTAATTGTTATTGAATATACTACTGCCTGCATTTCTAGAGACCAAAAATGCCGTTACATACATGAATGACAATATAGGTTTATGTGCCAATTTCTGTTGAAATGTGCACTTTTTGTAAAATGAAAAGGACACACATAAAGCACGTCAGCAAGCTGGAGAATCCCTTTTAAATGAGCACTATAAGTAAAATTATAAATTACTATAGCTTGTTCTATTATTACACCTTATTTTAGTGGTTATAGTGTAACTTGTTTCCCCTCTGCTTTTTGTCAAAGTGTTTTTAATGTAGTTTAATAAGATACTTGGGCACCCAAAGCAAACCCTCTCAGCCACGGACTTGGTAAAGAAGAATTTTACCACCTCCGGATCAGTTTAAATATTTGGATAGATGAATGATAGGCTCTCTGTGCTAGACCATGTTAGGGTTTCACAGCATTCTCACTATGTGTGTCTGATGTTGTTTTATTTTGTTTCAGAACAATTAAAACTTACTGGGTTACAAAAGGCAGTGGATTCAGCACAAGCATTACAAAGCAAGAAACAGATCTGACTCCAGAGATGATTGCCAGGTAACAGGGGTCTGTGTGCCTTTTATAGAGGTGTCTAAAGACATTCGATGGCCCTTCTAACTTCTAAACTTCATATATGCCAATCTCCGTCATTACTAGGCGGTCTAGAAGGGGCTCCTGGGATAGTGACATAGTTTAAACCCTGGAGGTCACTATACTGTGGTATCTGGTTCTAGGTTCATATTTGAGCTCAAGGTTGTTTTAGAATAGCAGCTCAGCCACATATTATAATTATATACTGATACTATTTCTTTTCTTTTACTTAGTTGTATTGTGCAACAATTAACTTTTTATTCTGCTATCACAGAAAATGTTGTGTTATTTGTTTCACTGCATGACGTAGAGACCAGGTCTGTGTATGTCCCCTTCTTATTGAAATCATTCTGCCGTGGGCTGAGCCGGGATAGTGTACATAACCCAGAGCTCGTCTTCTATTCTGTGTTGCCCTGTGCTGTGAGGGACAGACTCCATGTCCCATAGCTCTCACCTGTCTGTGTCACCCTGTGCTGGGAGGGACAGACTCCATGTCCCATAGCTCCCTCCTGCCTGTGTCACCCTGTGCTGGGAGGGACAGACTCCATGTCCCATAGCTCCCTCCTGTCTGTGTCACCCTGTGCTGGGAGGGACAGACTCCGTGTCCCATAGCTCCCTCCTGTCTGTGTCACCCTGTGCTGGGATAGACAGACTCCATGTCCCATAGCTCCCTCCTCTCTGTATCACCCTGTGCTGGGAGGGACAGACTCTATGTCCCATAGCTCCCTCCTGTCTGTGTCACCCTGTGCTGGGAGGGACAGACTCTGTGCCCATAGCTCCCTCCTGTCTGTGTCACCCTGTGTTGGGAGGGACAGACTCCATGTCCCATAGCTCCCTCCTGTTATCTCCTGTCCTCCCTACTTTAGGTTATGTATGATGGTATTTGTAGTATAACACTCTGTAGAGAAAATTAATGTGGTTTCACTGGACTTTATGCACGTCATCTATCTTCTGTATGTTTATCTATCCCAACACCTACCACCTTTTCTCTTTTGTCGCACTCAGTGGTTCCTGGAGAGAGAAGAAGTTCAAAGCATATAATTTTAATGCCCTAGGTGTGATGCCCGAGTGTGGTCATCTTCACCCCCTTCTTAAGGTCCGCACACAGTTCCGACAGATTTTCCTTGAGATGGGGTGAGTTAACCAGAGCTACGTAAACCTTGATGTCATTATGGGAAGAGCCAGCAATATATGTGTTTATATGTATTTACCTCATTCCCTAGATTCACAGAGATGCCAACCAATAACTTCATTGAGAGCTCGTTCTGGAATTTTGATGCCCTCTTTCAGCCCCAGCAGCACCCAGCCAGGGATCAGCACGACACGTTCTTCTTGCAGGGTAGGTATCTTCCCTTGGGTGTAATTCCAACCAGGTAATGTTTTAGTGCTTAATTCTAGTCCAGCCAGTGTGAGGAAACTGAAAATAAACCAACCAAAGCTCAATCACTTTCGCCCGGCAGGAGGAGAGACGTATGTTGCCTAGTGACAGACCGAATGTTCTAACAATAATACTACCTTTAAATCAAGCAGTATGAGATTTGTCATACAAGTAACAGTGAGGCTAATACACTTTAGGTTTCTGTCAGTGTGTGTGACCTATTTAGTGCAGGGCTGGGATTGAATCATTTTAAGCTGCCATTTTATACATGTAGAGCAGCAGTGATTATTTTTGTATTGCTCTGCGTTGTTATTGTCACTTTCTGTAAGAACTGAAATTACAGGGGGCGGAGCCTGGATGCAGAGCTGATCAGACACGCATCGGCTGAGCTCTACAGACTGGGATTGATAAACGACGGATTACCGGGGCCACTCGCCAAACCGACCAGCCACCGACGACTTCCCAGATAAGGGAACGACGGTGCATCCAGGGATACCAAAATCCAACCGTTTTGGCACTGAAACGCTGCCGTTCAGGCTTGCGGCCTACACAAGCGTGGGCAGAGGAGAGGCGGCCGCTCTCTGAGCCCTATTCCCGGCGGAGTGCACATAGCACCAGGATGTCCCCCCCCTCTGGACCGGTGGGGGTCATCCCGGTCCCCCTCCTGACATACCCAGCACCAACAAGCCGGCTACGAGAAGCCATCAAGCGACAAGATTAAGCAGCAACCGTCAAACTTAAAATGGCGGACACTCCTGACACACAAGCTCCTGACACAGAACAAGTTGCGATTTCACTCCAGAGCACTTTTGAGCGCTTGCTCCACAACGTCGACAGGCTCTTTACAAACTTCTGGGCAAAGTTAGAGGCCCGCGCCATGGAGACACCGCGTCAGAACCAAGAGCACAGCAGAGAGAAGCGGGAGGTGAGCGGGCCCCCTCAGGGCGAACTCCCACATCAAATGCCTGACACAGCGCAAACGGACCAGACAAGGCCCAAAGCCACCAGGGGCATACTACCCCGATATATGCAGCGGAGGCTGAGAATCCACCGCCACTGGCGGCAACGCTACAGCAGGAGCACCAGCCGCCCCTTCCATCAAAGAGACTTGGCCTGGAGACAGAGGGCCCGAACCTCTCACCCTCACCCTCACCTGACAGCCGCCCGAGACTGCACTTGCAGAGCCTTCAATTAACAGAGCAGAGGTAACAGCACAGGGGCCCTGATGGAGTGTAGCCGGCGGAGGGGCCGACACGGCACCACAGTCCGAGCTCTGGGAACTGCAAGACCACGGCCCCCGCAGCGGGCAACCCAGCAGAAACCTCAAAGCCTGGGCCCTAAGGTGACAAGACAAGACACAGGGATTAACAACGAAAAAGACTCACCCCCAAAGCCTCCAAGCGGCATGGGTTGACGGCCATTAAAGGACGCTATGACATCTGGTACCAGAGCCTTATAGCAAAACTACCATAGTCATAACCATAACAATCCTGATCTAGCATGTAAATAATTAACCTTATCTCTGTGTACCTACAATACAACCCATGTATGCTGTAGCTTCTTAACTGTTAGGCAATAGCTTCTTAAGCGCAGCATGTATACTCAGTACAGTATAAAACTTTAAGCAACATGTTTATTAATCTTAACAAGTTTTTTAATCCTATTATTACTGCTACTCGTTGAAACACAGCATTGTAAGCTTTACAGTACTTGCAGGATGGTGATCCTAGCCATAGATGGTACTAACTACAGAACTTCCCCTGCATAAAGCATATATGAGCTTAGCCTGTAACGCATACTTCACTTAATCATAAAAATGCGCATTAATCCTACATCTAAGTGACCTCTATGTCTTGGATTACTGTCATGGCAACATAACTACAATCTGATGTGCAAAAAGTTGAGTTAAACGAAATCTTAATCTAACATGTTATACCATTCAGCAACACCTATTAGCTTGTTATCATTACGTAATATAAAAAAAAAAAAAGTGCATTGTCTACCTAACCCCCACTGTAACTAATGTCTTGAAATCAGCATATGGAATGCCGTTGGGGTACCATATGTATACCTGTAACCACCATACGCACTGCAAAAAAAAAGAATAAAAAAAAAAAAAAGAACTGAAATTACAGCAGGGATGTTTTTATTTTTAGATCCGGTTTTCGCAACAGAATTTCCCATGGATTACCTAGCAAGGGTGAAGAAAGTTCATTCTGAAGGAGGATATGGCTCACAAGGGTACACGGTCTATGGGTTATATATTCTTACCCGCTAGTGAGCGTTAAATGCCATCATAGCTCTCAGGTGTCTAGTCCCCTCCAGTCTGTGTCACTGGGTGCTGCGAGGGATAGACTCCATGTCCCATAGCTCCCTCATGTCTGTCTCACCCTGTGCTGGGAGGGACAGACTCCATGTCCCATAGTTCCCTCCTGTCTGTGTCACCCTGTGCTGGGAGGGACAGACTCCATGTCCCATAGCTCCCTCCTGTCTGTGTCACACTGTACTGGGAGGGACAGACTCCATGTCCCATAGCTCCCTCCTGTTTGTGTCACCCTGTGCTGGGAGGGACAGACTTCATGTCCCATAGCCCACTCCTGTCTGTGTCACCCTGTGCTGGGAGGGACAGACTCCATGTCCCATAGCTCCCTCCTGTCTGTGTCACCCTGTGCCGGGAGGGACAGACTCCATGTCCCATAGTTCCCTCCTGTCTGTGTCACTCTGTGCTGGGATGGACAGACTCCATGTCCCATAGCTCCCTCCTGTCTGTGTCACCCTGTGCTGGGAGGGACAAACTCCATGTCCCATTGTGCCCTTCTGTCTGTGTCACCACAATGTATAAGGGAGCAGACTCTATATTCCACAGGTCCATATTGTATTAATAATTTAAGTTAAATAGATCATGTTTTATTTTTCTTTCCTACAGTTACAAATATGATTGGAGTATAACTGAAGCTCGAAAGAATATCTTGCGAACACACACTACAGCCGTCAGTGCTCGGATGTTGTACAAACTCGCCCAGCAGGTAAATAATGTATTTTAATCTTATGCTAATCAAAGCTGCAGAAATTTGAAATATTTATAAATATAATGCCATAAAGTTAAACAGAATAACCTTCATTCGTATTTTTTTTTTTTTGTATTGTGATTAAAATATTACTTTTTCCCATGACCTCCAAGCTATGGATCTGCTGGTATTGAAACCATTGCAAGCTGCATTGTAGTATTTAAAACATGTCTAAAGCTGACGTGCGCAATTGATGAGCTAAATAGCTGTTCAGGTTACGAGCAGCCAAACACTGATTGGCTATTTCAGTGTCAGATGACTGGACCTCATCATCCACGGTCCACAAACAAAGCCCTGAACGCTGGTCAATGACTCATTGCTTCCCTCTGCTGGTATGATTTCAGTACTGACTGATCTTTACACTTTGATATTTGTAAATTGCATTTCCCATGGTGCTCGGCATCCTTACAGCTGGCTGAGTGTCATGTGAAGTATTGTTCATAAACCTCAGTGATTATATTATCCATCACTGTTGGAGGCTGGCTGAGAATTAATAAAAATATAGTTCATTTTGTGCGCCTAAAATATATAATAAGACATATACAGAGTATAAAATAAAATATCAGATAATAAAAGTAAATACAAAATGGTAATCAACAATAGTCCAAAACACTTATCAAGAGTCCGTAATGGTAAGTTCTTTTGAGGAAACAGGAAATCCTGAGAAATTTCCTGTTTCCTCAAAAGAACTTACCATTACGGACTCTTGATAAGTGTTTTGGACAATTGTTGATTACCATTTTATATTTACTTTTATTATCTGATATTTTATTTTATACTCTGTATATGTCTTATTATATATTTTAGGCGCACTCTTATCCTTTTTATTTGTTTTTGTCTTTTATAGCTAGGGGATTATAGGGGACTCCCCTCTGAGAAGTGCTGCCTTCTTTATTTATTTGTGTGGCAGTTGAGCGCTGATTTGTTTCCCTTTTCGTATAGTTCATTTTGTCCATGCTTTAGCACTCGCAGGAGATATGCGGCCTTTAAGGGAGCTGTTTGATGCTTCCCTCGCTCTACACAGATACTCTCTCTTCCTCCCTACAGAAGGAGTTCACCCCTGTCAAGTATTTCTCCATTGACCGTGTGTTTAGGAATGAGACCCTGGATGCTACACATTTAGCAGAGTTTCATCAGATTGAAGGAGTGGTGGCAGATTACGGCCTGACGCTGGGAAATCTTATGGGCGTCCTTAAGGAATTCTTCACCAAACTTGGTATATTCCATATGTAGTATACTTTTCTTTCTCCCCCTCTCCCCACAATGATGTGTTTCAATTAAGGTATAATCACTCCTTTGTACCCTTTACACGTAGACTGTTCCACTTATAGAATTAGCATTCCTTTCTGGGTTTTTTTATTCATTTGCAATATCATAATGAAAAATCTACTTGTATAACTTGATGGACTTTAGTCTTTTCTTAACCTAGACTACAATGTAATTATTTAAAGGGACACTATGGTCACCAGAACCACTACAGCTTAACGTGGTTCTGGTGTCCATAGCTTGCAGCCATTGCTTACATTACAACCTAGAGAAACACCTCACAGACCACTGCTAGAAGTACTTCCTCGGTGTGTGCAGCACTGACGTTAAGCATCTCCATGCAGTGCATGGAGACGCTGAATGTTCCCTATAGAAATGAATAGATCCAATGCAGATCTATGAGGAGATGCTGATTGGTGCAGCGCAGTGTTTTGCCTCCAAGTGTTTTCCTATAGAAAAGTAATGGAATGGCTGAGGTTGTCAAAATTGATGATCTCAGCCAATGGAGGCGGGGCCAGCGGTGGCTAGACCAGCGTGGCTTGGGGAAAAAAAAATAAGTAAAATCATCTTCTTGCTTTGATCGAAAGGAGTGCAGTCACCCAAACAGCCACTTCAGGGCTATAATATCCGGAATATAGGTTTGTTTTTGTGAAAATTTAGTGTTTTGTTTTCTTTTTCTTTAAATTTTATGTTATTACTAGAAATGTAGGTATTTATGTAAAACAGAGTTCAGAAATATCTGGACTGACAGCACCATGACAGCGGCTCACAATGTTCTGTAGGGTCATCAACAGTACGCCACCATGTGGAACGTTTGTGAATTACAATGATGCAGTATATCTCCAGACTCTTTGGAGTAAGCATTATTATTTAGCAGGAAAGTATCTTTAAATGTGTGTGTGTGTATGTATGTGTGTGTGTGTATATATATATATATATATATATATATATATATATATATGATGTCAGTGTTTGGACAAATTGGTACTTATTGTCAGTGAATTGTCATTAAGTCTTTATTTTTTTACAGGAATAACCAAACTGCGCTTTAAGCCAGCGTATAACCCTTACACAGAACCTAGTATGGAGGTGTTCAGCTACCATGAAGGTAAGTTTTATCACAGTATAGATTTTTGAGTCTATTCATTATATAATGGTGTACAACGAACTGGCAAACCATGATCTCAAAGGAAAAAAATTGGTAGGCGAAATCGGTCATGTTGAACATACGTTTTAATGAAATAATCCTTCAAATAAGGCTGACCTAACCAGTGGAGCTTACACTCTAAATGATAGTTGGACTATCCTGCGGTGCTCATACAGCAAAGATTCAGGCAATGGAGATTTGGTGAGATAAGAAATTTTCTAATCTAAAACAATATTCCCAACAGACTAATACTTTCATCTAAGGAAGGAATAGTAATTTTACCTGGAATTACACCTTGAGGATCAGTCAGGTTTTTACTGTGGAGGTAACCATCTGGGAATTGCATTGCAATTTGTAAATACTCTGTGACAATTACAGACAACATTGAGAGCAGTCGGTCATAATTTGTGGCTTCTGAGCAGCTGCCTGCTGTCCACCGGATAGCCGTCCCCAGGTAAGAAGTCAAACTGTTGGCAAATTATTTGACTACTTACATGGGGTGGGGGCACCAGAGCACTTCTGGCTCCGTAACCTCTACAGTACGTTATAGTGGTTATGGTGTTGGGAGTATTCCTTTAAAAAGCAATGACATACCGTTAAATTCATATTTTAAAGGGGCCCTACAGCCTGTAATGATACTTTTTTTTTTTTTTTTAAATGCATTATAAAGTTTATATCTTTAAAATATCAAAATAAGCTATTCACACTTTAATTTGCTGTATTTGCAATTAATATATAGCTAGTTCTGTGACAAGTTTTAATCATCCAATGATGCTTCTATTATTTTACTATGGTTCTTTAAGGGCAGAACTCAGGTTTATGGGGGTTTTAGTTCATAAATTTTCTGTTTATCAAACGTTTTTATTCATCTTCACCTCCTGAATGAGTGAAAACCACGTTTGTTTGTTTAAAATTGAAAATCATGGAGGCTGTGAAGGAGGAGCAGGAAGGTTGGATCATGATTCTTTAGAAATAGAAAACAAACAAGATTAAGAAAAACAACCAGCCCAGGATAACGAAGTGTAACCTAACTGTACCCAATGTTCCTTCCCATTTAACTCTGTCTTTAAAACAGAGGGGGGAAATGAGTCAGACAGGCAGACTATTTGTGCATTAGTTGTGCATCATGTGCTTCATTACAGTAATTAGATCGCAGGAGGTGGTACAGTGGAGGCTGGATGCAGAATGCTGCAAACATATATGTTCCCTCCCAAACAAATAGACAAATCAAACACACCAATACAGCTAATTATTTAGGCAAAAAGCTATAAAATTTCTATCCTCATGAGACCCAGCCCATAAATTGTGTCCTGTTGTATTGTAAAGAGGACATCCGGGGCTTTCCAGTGATATGTCATGTGATAGGCTGGGATGCTGGGAACTTCCTCTTCCGTTTCATCAAAACCAGATGGCATATTGGAAGACAATGTTTTCCTCATTTCCCAGCAGGATAAATGTTGTATTGGTGCAGTTCTCTCCACGTTTGGTGCACACGTTGATCTCAAAGAGCAGAGATTGGCTGACATTATTCAGTCACTTCCAAAATATTCTACCCTATAAAACTTTATGGTGTTTTCAGTCAAGACAAGAATATCACCTGTTCTTTATGATATTGGAAGCGGCAACACAACAGGATGTATCTGCTTAACCAGAGCAACAAAAAATGCCCCAAAATATTCTTAAAATAATGATAATGATTTAACCCTTTCCATTGCTTTTTTAACTTGTAAACTTGAAAGTGAAGGTTTAAACACGGTTTTGCTGGTTCTGCTTTTAATTTAAACTTTGTGTACACTTTAGTCTGTGTATCTTATATTGCATAACGTATTGGCATTTAAAACATAGATGATAACAGCGTTTACATAAACAAATCCTTTTTTGTTTATGTTTATTGAAGATATATTTTCTATAGCATTTGGCCATTTTATTTTATTTTTTTCCTCGTAGGTTTGAAAAAATGGGTCGAAGTTGGAAATTCTGGGGTCTTCCGACCAGAAATGCTACTGCCAATGGGTCTTCCAGAAGGAGTGTCTGTTATCGCATGGGGGCTGTCGCTGGAAAGGTGAGCACAGTGTTTAGCTTAATACAAAACCACCAAAAAAAGCAGAGGTTAAAAGCAGAATAAGCAAAGATTTAGTTAAAAAAACGCATGGTTTGTTTTGTTGAAATTTTTTTATTTTCTTACACATAAATAATACTTTTTTTTTTTTTCTTTTTTTTTTAAATCTTCTGGATACCACCATGCTTCAGCTCCCTATTCAGCAGTATTTATGAAGGGGAAACCCTGCAGGTTGGGAGGGACACTAAGAAAGGGTGAACTTACAGAGCAAACCTATCGAATATTTATGTTTAAAGCGGCACTGTCATGCCGAATCCAGTTTTTTTTTTTTTTTAAACCCCCCTCCGGCCTCCACTACATCTGACACCCTAGTCACCCCCTAAACCCTCCCACATTACCTATTTTTTATTCCTTATTTTCTGCCCCGATCTATATTCAGGGCGCCACCATCTTTGTGTGGGTAGATGAAGTTCCTGTGGGAAACGTCTTCAGCCCACACTAGACAGACTGTGAGATTCCCGCACATGCCCAGTGAAACACCTGGACATGCGAACGGGAATTTCATCCATTCATTCATCAGAAAGACGAATGAGTGAATAGAAATATCAGCCGAACAAACTAACACTGTGTATCTGAGTATCAGTGTTCGTTTGTTCGTGCAGTTTATTACAAGGAGCGAGCTACCGGCACGGGTGGGGGGCCATAAAGATAATCGGGGGGGGAGGACCTACTGTCCGCCCCCACCCCTGGGCGGCAGGTGGGGGCCAAATGATAATGGGGGAACCTACTGTCCACCCCCTCCGGCCCCCCCAGGCAGCGGGTGGGGGCCATAAAGATAGTTTCCCCCCCCCCACAAGGTGACTAGGGGTCCCCAAGCCCCTAGTCACCCACCCCCCCACCCAAATAAAAAGTCCCTACCTACCCCCCTCACCCTAAAAAATAGTGAGGGGGGAATAAAATAACTAACCTGTAAAATAAAATTAAACTTACCATTCGACGTCTTCTTTTTTTCTCAAATCTTAATTTTTCAGCCCCAAAAAAGGCCAAATAAAAAAACATCATAACCGTCGAACTAAAAATAAAATAAAAATCCTGAGTGCAAAAAAAAAAACCTGACAAAAAAGAAAAAACCCGAGCGCAAAAAAGAAATCCATCTTCACCCATGGAGGGCTCTGCAATGAGGATAAGAACACTCTGATTGGCTTAAACCCACCAATCAGAGTGTCCTTAGCCTAATTGCAGGGCGGGGCAAGGCTTTATAAGCCTTCCCCCCTGCGGAGCTCAATCTGCCCGGTTTAATTTTATTTTACAGGTTAGTTATTTTATTCCCCCCTCACTATTTTTTTTTTTTTTTTTAGGGTGAGGGGGGTAGGTAGGGACTTTTTATTTGGGTGGGGGGGTGGGTGACTAGGGGCTTGGGGACCCCTAGTCACCTTGTGGGGGGGGAATTGACTTAGGGTCCCCACCCGCCATCCAGGGGTGGGGGCCGGGGGGGGGAGGGGAGAGGACAGTAGGTCCCCCCCAACCCTCATTATCTTTATGGTCGCCGCCCAGGGGTGGGGGCCGGAGGGGGGGTGGACAGTAGGTCCCCCCCCCATTATCATTATTGCCCCCACCCACCTCCCAGGGTGGTGAGGGGGGGGGCTGCTAAACCCCCCATTATCTTTATGGCCCCCACCCGCCGCCCCGGGGGGGACGGGACAGTAGGTCCCCATTATCATTATGATCCTGAGAGAGGAGGAGAAGAGGAAGAGATTGAGGAAAGGTAAGTTCGGCATGACAGTGCCGCTTTAATGTACTGAGTACAAGATGACCTAATGTTAATTACAACCTGATCCTGTTTTTCACTTTTAATAGCTAAAAGCAAACACCTGGTAAATAGATATTTTCCTTATACATGTTTTAATTATTATTTTAAGGCCGACAATGATAAAGTATGGCATTAACAACATCCGGGAGCTGGTTGGCCACAAGGTGAACTTGCAGATGGTCTACGATAGTCCGATATGTCTCCTAGATTCTTAAGGCTCAACATCCCCAAGCTGAAAAAACACCTTTTTTTTATTCTCTTTGGGAACATCGAGGGCCATGCGCCAACCTAATGCAATATTTATTTTTGTCTTATAACAAACAGTGTATTTTCACTTTTACCCAAGTAAACAAAAGTTTGGTAAAGATAAACGATCAGTTGTATTTTTTTTTTTATTTTTATTTTTTTTTTTATTCTGCGTTTTCTTTCCCCTCCCTAAAATGTCCTTACTATATGGATACCTAAAAACATGATGATACTCTGTGGCTATTCAAATGTTGTTCTTTTCCATTTCCATCGCTCTGTGAAAGGTATACTCACCACAATGCTCACTGGTACTGTTAAATGGGTTCCGTTCAGTGCAAAATGCACCCCCCACACTCCCAGAGTGCTGATCTCGTAGATATTCATTTACTGCTGCTATGGACTGAGGTTCGTCTATCAAGTCCCATTTAGAGTGTATGGTGAGATTCTGGTAGAATCCTGGTGTTGGTTGGCAGACTTCATTAATCAACTCATATCCTTACAATGATGGAGCACTAAAGGCATTGATATGAAGTGGTCTGGGTGCTGTGACCTTCTCATTTTAACCCCGCAATGTAAAACGTTGTTTAATAGACATGGCGATATTATGAATGCAGGGTTAACACACCTTTAGTGGATGGGCTTCCTGACAACAACTAGAGGTACTTCCCTGTGAGAACCAAGTCAGACTCTGTTCCCAATCAAATGTTTCTCCTAGAGAGAATTTGATTGGCTTAGACGTATGTTTGTATTCATAACGCTATAGTGCACCTTTATTTGCATCTAGTGTTATCTCTTTGAGGTTTGTACCCAAGAAAATGTACAGAAAACACAATCAATCCGTATTTTTGCAAACTGACATGTGAAACTTCTTTCTGTTTAAATCTATATAACCTCTCTCTATAACTCCTCCTATTACTCCATATAACCTCTCCCTATAACTCCTCCTATTACTCCATATAACCTCTCCCTATAACTCCTCCTATTACTCCATATAACCTCTCTCTATAACTCCTCCTATTACTCTATATAGCCTCTCTCTATAACTCCTCCTATTACTCTATATAGCCTCTCTCTATAACTCCCCCTATTACTCCATATAACCTCTCTCTATAACTCCTCCTATTACTCCATATAACCTCTCTCTATAACTCCACCTATTACTCCATATAACCTCTCTCTATAACTCCTCCTATTACTCCATATAACCTCTCCCTATAACTCCTCCTATTACTCCATATAACCTCTCCATATAACTCCTCCTATTACTCCATATAACCTCTCCCTATAACTCCTCCTGTTACTCCATATAACCTCTCTCTATAACTCCTCCTATTACTCCATATAACCTCTCTCTATAACTCCTCCTATTACTCCATATAACCTCTCTCTATAACTCCTCCTATTACTCCATATAACCTTTCTCTATAACTCCTCCTATTACTCCATATAACCTCTCCCTATAACTCCTCCTATTACTCCATATAACCTCTCCCTATAACTCCTCCTATTACTCCATATAACCTCTCTCTATAACTCCTCCTATTACTCCATATAACCTCTCCCTATAACTCCTTCTATTACTCCATATAACCTCTCCCTATAACTCCTTCTATTACTCCATATAACCTCTCCCTATAACTCCTCCTATTACTCCATATAACCTCTCCCTATAACTCCTCCTATTACTCCATATAACCTCTCCCTATAACTCCTCCTATTGCTCCATATAACCTCTCTCTATAACTCCTCCTATTACTCCATATAACCTCTCCCTATAACTCCTCCTATTACTCCATATAACCTCTCTCTATAACTCCTCCTATTACTCCATATAGCCTCTCTCTATAACTCCTCCTATTACTCTATATAACCTCTCCCTGTAACTCCTCCTATTACTCCATATATCCTCTCCCTATAACTCCTCCTATTACTCCATATAACCTCTCCCTATAACTCCTCCTATTACTCCATATAACCTCTCCCTATAACTCCTCCTATTACTCCATATAACCTCTCCCTATAACTCCACCTATTACTCCATATAACCTCTCCCTATTACTCCTCCTATTACTCCATATAACCTCTCCCTATAACTTCTCCTATTACTCCATATAACCTCTCTCTATAACTCCTCCTATTACTCCGTATAACCTCTCCCTATAACTCCTCCTATTACTATTATTCCACACCTTCCTAATGTCCAGTAAGATACTTTGTATGTCCCCTTGAGTAGCTGCTGGTAAACATCTGTCTTTTAATGTAAAGTAAACTCCTTTCTTTCCCTGCATGAGCCCTTCGAAGCCCCTTCATCACTTCCAGTGCCTTGGGCACCATCTTGACAGAATTCAACAGAGGAGGCTTCTCAAAAGATAGCTTCATACCGTGCATTTTTGCGGGGTTTCATGGTAGCTGAATCTTTTGTTTTTGAGCCCTACATTGTCATCTGGTGGGGGACATGAAAGTTGGAGCTTTCAGGCCTATTTTCATGGCTTTTATGCCAAAGTTGCGTCAGAGCTCTGCAGGATCGTGTCTGTGCTACAGCTATGTCGGCCACAAAGTTTATTTATTTGCCCTGTCTCATAGCTCAGTCATAATCCTTTTGTATTGAATTAATTTGTATAAACTAACTTATTAATCATTTTAATAAGCAATTGTCTTTTTTCCAAGCTGTTAAAGGGACTTTGTACCCTTCAATGTAAGCTGTTTTATTGTATTTAATACTACATTTTATAAAGAAAGACACCAAAATGTCTCCCTGTTATTCAACCGACAAAAATCTGTATTGACCTTAAATGTTTGAGATGGAGAGCAGAACGCAACATACTGTGTCTATGCATACATATGGAAAAGGTTAATCTGATTCCTTAAGATATGGAAGCATTTCTCATATGTTGTATAGACATTATTTTAATGACTTAACTATATTTTGCTTTCTTCGTCTTTTAAAAATGTGTATTTTATATGACTGCAAACTCATCAGTCTACAAACTGTGCGAGCTAAATGCCACAATGCCTAATCTTCAAGGACACCACCCGTGGCATTTGTGGTCAGAAGGAAGGAAGTGATCATCAGGTAAGTATATCTTTTAAATGAATAATAGAGAGTAGGTTTACCACAATCACTGGGCCGTTACAGAGAACATGCATTGGGGCAGGATATTGTGTACAATCATGTACCATTAAAGGGACAATCTAATCTAAGCACTAAACCACATATGTAAAAGGTTACTCCAACCACCATGCCATGATTCAGTGTAGATGTTATGGTCTACAATTTAAGATTCATGGTGGATAACCTACGATTTTATTGAATAACCTTGTCTCAGTCATTCAGTAAATGTGATTTATTTACTAAACTCTAAATTATTTTGATTTTAAGTGGCCATAGTGCCTGGAGTTTAAATGTGTGGTGTTTCACCCCTCTGCTTTTGGAGGTGTTTGAGTCCACCTCCAGCAGCGTCAATGGGGCTCTATCAGTGAGCCCAGAACCATGTTAGTGTTCCTTTTAAAACACTGGGATTTTAGGTACACGGGAGAAGTTGTGAAATCACCAAGAAAATGTAGCCTCAACAACCACTGTCGTCAGGAACATCATATACAAGTTCTAAATAGTAAGATATGTACTTAACCTTGTTATGCATTAACATAGTTATATTGACACGTATCCCTATTACCATGGAGAGCTCTACCCCCACTAGATATGTCTCTACATGTGATAACTCTTGCAGGGTATTCACCAAATTGAGAATTCAAAGTGAATTTCAAATTTAAGATCAAAATAGCGGAACTGACAAAATTCTTTACGTCAACCATGCTTTCAGTTAGACTCATCTGGCCTTAAATCTTAAATTCACTTTGACTTCTCAGCTTAGTGGATAACCATGAAAATCTGAGTCATTTACAGCAAATATTAGTAATTGGGCGGCTTGGGTTCCATCCCACCACACTGTGTCCAATCCCTGAATGACTTTATTATACAGCAATCATATTATACACTACAATTTGGGACTGTCAAGTTATATATATATATAATGTCCTAATGTGTTTTATACCCCACCTCCTATAGACTGTAAGCTTGTTTGAGCAGGGCCCTCTTCAACCTCTCGTTCCTGTAGGTTTTCTTGTAATTGTCCTATTTTTAGTTAAATTTCTCCCCCTCCCCCCCCCATATTGTAAAGCGCTACGGAATCTGTTGGCACGGTATAAATGGCAATAATTAATATATATTTCTGTGGAGTAACTACAAACGGTAAGGTGCTAAACATCATATTTAACATATGCCTAGCAAATCAAAACTGATCAAAATTCAATACTTTAAACAGTTTCTTTCTTATAGCAGCCCACACAGCAAGGCTTATGAAGTAGTCAGCGACTACTATCCAATATGTCTGAAAAACACAGGAAAAGATATTACCAATGATTTTGGCACACATTGATTGTAAAATGAAAGGATCAAATAACCAATACGAGGTACCCACAGATGACAACATTTGCAAACTGCATGTAGCCAAAACACCAAGTGGATTACCCACTAAACACTGGTGGAAACTGATGAACTGGTGAAAACCAATTTAGATCATTTAGGCTTAAAAAGCTGATTACGAACAATTCTACAGCTTGGTTACAATTATGCTGGGTGTTCTAGCTTCAACTTTGCACTTCAGTTTAATTCACTACAACTCACGGTTTAAATAAATGAAAATAAATATATTTTGTTCACTTTTTCCTTTTTTAAAAACACAACAACTTTATTATATCAATAAATATAGATTACAAAAGATGTAAATGAAAAAGACAGATACAGACAATAAATATACATATAAATCATACATTGCCTAATTTCTTACAACTTAAATCAATGTAATCACCCTGAGAGACGCACACGGAGATATGACTGCAAAGAATTTGGATTTCCAATCTTTATATTACTTCAAACTGGGGTCCAGTCTCTATCTACTACCTTCTATGATCTTCAATTCACTACTCTTACGCAGCCCAGTTCCATCTAACATGGATGGTTTGTTCTCGGAACCCGTCCCAATTTGGGATAGTTCCAATTTCTGGCTCTCATATACTTTGCTGCTATCAGTATACGTATTATCCTTACGAGTTCCCTTAAGCTCTCAGGACATTTAACAAACTCTGTCCCACAAAGCTCCACAGTATATTAAAAACTTCATCCCCTAAAAAATAAAATTGAATTTTAATTAGTTTACATCAGGATTAAAAACACATTAACACCAGCAAACATATTCATACAAAAATATTAACAGAAACATCAGCAGAGTTTAGTGAAAAGAAGTGTTTGAAATGTGTCATATGTCTTTAGTTAAACTGTTTATTGTCAGGGACTCAAATTGAATTTTGATCTAAAATAGCCACATTGCAAAAAAAGTATGCAATGTTTTCAGTGTGGCTGTGTTGGCCTGCAATTTTAGATTCATGGTGAATAACCTACATATAACAATTTATTGAATAACCTTGTCCTGCTTGTTCAGTAAAGAGGATTATTACCCAAACTCTAAATTATAGGAAATGGATATCCAAATGACAAAATTTAAACAGAAAAGTTGTGGAGATCTTTAACAAATCACTTTTTTTGGACTACATTTTGCCATTTGGCTTACAAATCAGAGTTTCAGATTTTTGAAATATACTGTACTTCAGTAGTCTGACAATTTACATATTATTATTAAAAAACAAACCAACATACTTTTGGCAATGATTTTGCCTGCACAGTATGTAGCTTAGATGTAAACTTGTTACACGGTCACGTGTTTTGTGGGTGGCAGGTTAACACTCCAAGCACCAAAACAACTTAATCTAAATGAAGTTGATATGTTGCCAGGAGGCCCCTGGAGGCACTCCTACCTCAAGAGGTTAAACTGTTCTCATATAGACTCCTACCCCTGTGACCACTTCAAATCACTGAAGTGGTCATGGCTGTTGAAGTCTGTGTATGCAGGCTCCAAAGAGTCTCTTTAATGTAGAGGGAATTAACTTTGGGGTAAGTAAGCACTGCCATTTAATTTATGTAGTGGGCAATCTACACGTCACTTGGCACTTAATTTGGTGATTGGCTATGGGCATTATGTTGCTTGGGGCTAAGCCTGTGTTTACAAAGAAGCAACTGGGCATGTACAAGTGTGCACACCTGTTGAGTTAAATATAACTTCACTCTAACTCACGTTCTGTTTGGGAATAGGATGGAGTCTAGAACTATTATCTTTTGCTAAGTACAATAGTCGTTAGACTACAGGACTGGAGGATTCACTGTGCCTCTTCTTCCACACGTCCCAATAAAAGGCCACCATTTCTCTCCTGGGAGCTGGGATCAGGGTAAGAGATTGTGAAGAGTCATATTAATGTGTTTCCAAAAATAATTTAGGAATCAACTTTTGAGCTAATCTGCCTAAATGTTAGACCAATTCTGATCATTTTCTACAGGGCATAGATGGTTTAATTAGGAACTAATCTGGATCAGTTTAGAATTTTATCTTCTAAATTTGGATAGCATTTCATTCATTGAATTTCAAATAAAATGTTAGCCTACTGTAAATAACCATAAATTATGTTACAATGGCGACAATCAAGTAATTGCCACAAACTAAGACGGGTTTGGAGGTCTGTTCTGGGTTGTAAAGTGTATGACATTTTTATTATCTGTTTTGGGCATCTTATAATCATTACTTCAAAGGGATAGTGTAAACACCATAGCAACTATAGCCTGCTGTAATGGTTATGGGGACAGGAGTCTCCTGGTGCTGTCCTATGGTATGCAGTCAAGCAGTTTTCTAACAGTCTGATGCTTACTTAGATCACCCCAGTGAGCTGACACTCTAAGTCAATGAATTCTGTTTGAACACAAGCAGAGCTAACATCATTAATGTGGAAGTAGGCCAAAAAATAAATAAACTGAGACAAGAATGCAGGTACCTGGAGACCCAGGTAAGAACCAAACTGTTAGAAATGGTTTGACTATTTACTGTGGGACAGGGTCAGACCAAGGGACTCCAGGCACCATAACCACTACAGCCCACTGTAATAGTCATGGTGCCTAGACTACACCTTTCATCTCCGTTGAAACATGCTGTCATAGGCATACAAAAACCTTCACACAAATGGCACCTTATTAATAAAAAATATAAAAAATGTCTAACACCACATGTAGAGGTCATTGTGCTTCGTCTTCCCTGATCGTAGTTCGCTCTTTCTGACACTCACATGATTTGCTAATGAATACACACACCTGATCCTGCTCTTGAACCTGATACACATTTATACTAGGACCTGCTACAGGTAAGAAAGTCGTATTTGTGGTCTTCAGCATATCAACACTGCAGTCTTTACCTTCTGCTTGTGGACCCAGGATGCAGTCTGCAGGATGAGAAAAAGCTGAAGTTAGGAGCATGAAATATAGGTTCTATATAAAGCTGTAATACAACAAATAGGGTGAACGGGACAGAAAATCAGACAAAATCCAAAGAGGAAAATGCTGAAGAATCTCAGTGTAAGAGACAATCCTTCAACTACAGTGTTCTGTGTTGATAATTGTAATACTTTTATAGTTTAGCATCCTTTGTGGTATCAATGTAGGAATAGTGTAACCAAAACAACAATTTCCTGCATACAGAGTAATACATAATACGTTCTAAATCTAACTAAATAAAGCATGATACAAAAAAAAAAAAAAATGGTTATATTGGATGGGTAAGAATCTGTGTTAGTGAGCACTTCTCCTTTGACGAGATAATCCATCCACCTCACAGGTGTGGCATATCAAGATGGTGATTAGACAGCATGATTATTGCACAGGTGTGCCATAGACTGGCCACAATAAAAGGCCCAGATAAATGTTGTTTTGTCAAGTTGTTCCTCTGGGCTTAACCCCTTCAGGACGGAGTCAATAGTACACGTTCTGATCATAACAAAACGTAAACAAAACTGGAATTTGCGCTCTATGTCTGTTCAACCGTAATTCACCGCTGTCACATTAAGTGCACCCACACTTATTATATATCATTTTGTTCAGGATAAACAGGGCTTTAATTTATCATTAACTATTCATATATGGAACATAATTTATTATGAATAAAATTTAAAAAAATGTGAGAAAATAACTTTTTTTTAAATTTGTATTTCCATCTGATATTTTAGCTGTGAATGTCATAATACTGTTAGGTTTTACTGCAAAAAAATGCACATATTTGTAATCAGCGATGTCTCACGAGTACAACAGTACCCCCCATTAACAGGTTTTATGGTGTTTTGGAAAGTTACAGGGTCAAATATAGAACGTTCCATTTTCAAATTGAAATTTGCCAGATTAGTAATGTTACCTTTGAGACGATGTGGTAGCCCAGGAATGAGAATTACCCCCATAATGGCATACCATTTGAAAAAGTAGACAACCCAAGGTATTGAAAGTGGGGTATGTTTAGTCTTTCTTTAGTAGCCACTTAGTCACAAACACTGGCCAAAGTTAGCATTCATATTTGTTTTTGTGTGAAAAAAGAAAAAAAAAATATTTGGGCAGTGTTTGTGACTAAGTGGCTACTAAGAAAGACTGGACATACCCCACTTGCAATACCTTGGGTTGTCTGCTTTTGCAAATGGTATGCCATCATGGGGGTAATTCTCATTCCTGGGCTACCATACGCTCTCAAAGGCAACATAACCAATCTGGCAAATTTCAATGTCAAAAAAATGAAATGCAAGCCTTATCTAACTTTCCAAAACACCATAAAACCTGTACATGGGGGGTACTGTTATTCTCGGGAGACTTCACTAAACACAAATATTAGTGTTTTAAAACAGTAAAACATATTACAACAATAATATAGTAAAAGTGCAGTTCGTTTCTAAAAAATGCAAAAAACTTCACTTTTACTTAAAATATAATCGTTGTAATACAATTTACCAGTTTGAAACACTAATATCTGAGTTCAGCGAAGTCTCCCGAGTAAAACAGTACCACCTATGTACAGGTTTTATGGTGTCTTGGAGAGTTACAGGGTCAAATATAGTGCTTAAAAATTAAATTCTCTGCACTTTCTCCCTGTGTTGTCAGGCATGTCAATCAAATTTTAATTAATCAAATCACATAATTATGTTAAAAGATTACTTAAATATACATGTAGAATTTTAATATATATGCATTTATAGGTATTTAAATTCTACGTGTATACTTATGTAATAATTTATGTAATTATATGTATATATATATATATATATATATATATATATATATATATGCGGTTATTTGTATTTTATATATAGATATATATAGAATGTGATTCTAAGTGTATTTTGTTACATACATATACATATATATATATATATATATATATTAACAAAATACAGTTAGAATGAAATTACATATGAATATATAATTTATATTAAATTTTGTTTCAATATTTTAATTAATTTTACTATTTTATTTGTTACTGTAATTATACGTTTATATATATATATATATATATAAATAATATAATATATAATATATATATGTAACGTCATTCTAAGTGCATTTTAATACTAATATATGTACTTATGTTAATATTAAAATACACTTTGTATGACGTTACATATATATAATATATAAATACATTTCTATTTTATTTTAAACATGTTTAATTATTTTTTTTTAATACTTCCCACCAGCAGGAGGACTGTCTGATATTTCAGACAGTCCCCCTGCTGGCAGATCGCTCTTTGTGTGATCGCTCTTTGAGAGCGATCACATGGCCCCCGGGGGCTTCTTTTGCAGTGGGAGGGCTGCCTGGGCTGTCAAGCAGTCGTGCCGAAGCAGAGCGCTGGGAAGGTGAGTATACCGGGCGCTCCATGGGCTTCAGCCGTTACGGCGTTCTATGCCGCCGCAACGGCTTTAAAGCCCTTTTAACCCCTTAAGGACCAAACTTCTGGAATAAAAGGGAATCATGACATGTCACACATGTCATGTGTCCTTAAGCGGTTAAATGGGGACGGCATAGAACGCCGTAACAGCGTTAACGGGTTAAATGTAAACTGTAATTTTTTGTTATTATCGAAACTAAAAAAATGTGTGTATTGAGGGAGGCAGGGCCTTGCAAGCAAGAAGGCCGGACGTGTTTTCTCTTAGCTCTGGCCTTCTAAACCTTAAATCGCAGAAACCACCCAGTTTAAGCTGCAGACCGATGCTTCCTATACCTGCACTATTTAACACTTGAATTGCATTGTTTGACGGGTTCTTACCCGGTCCTGATTCTGTGGCCTGTTAGGCCCAGCGACTGAAGAAGCGTCCGATCTCCCGAACCGGTGAGCGTAACTCGCTGACGCCTCTGCACAGCCCCATAACTTCCCTTTTGGACTGGTGAGGTTATCCCGGTCCCCACTGGAGCACAGCTTGATAATAGCCTGAAGACCCTGCTGGGCCAGCTGAGCGGAACCTCTGCCATGTGGGACCTATGATGGCTGCTGGAGGGAAACCTACAGCATGGACCTCCAGCGAAGATTGAATTGCCCAAGCCTCTGACCGTGTGTGGACAAAATTTGGGAACACAATAAACCGACGAGCACAGAACCCTGCACCAACGCCTGGAGCTCAATCTGGTACTTTGAGAAACCAAGATGACTTACTCCCTGCTCTGAGAGGCCCTGGTGCTGCGCCTATGGCGGGAAAACGGAGGAAGTGGCCCCGAAGGCCATACACACGCTGATGCATGTTGATGCGTGTTTCAGACTTCCTGGACATCAGTCTGAAGAGGGACCTGCACCTGGGCAATGATCTCCACACGGGGAGCAACGTCACATGGGGGCCCTGGCAGGCAAGTCTGTGGCAATGGTGACCCTCGGGTTCAAGAAATTGCGATATCAGCTACTGAGCAAGAGTGAGCTAAGGGGAAACTCGTGTATGGGCTGCAACACCTTGATCATGGACATAGCAAGTATATACCAATGATGCCCAATGTAGGCATAGGCTGACGGTTCCTCCTATACATAGTTCATGACCCCCCTCTAGGGCCCTGAACCCAGTTGCTAAAAATGCAATTCTCACATTTGTGTAGTTTATATTGTTTGGTTTATATATTTTGGTTTATGCATGTCCCCCGGCCAATACAAAGACCTGCAGGCACAATTCTTTATATTTTCCCACCCAGGGGCAATTAGCTTCATATGACCAAACAAGTACATATGCCTTATTAGTTTTCTCTTTTTTCCCTTGACATCTCTGCTCACATACACCGTCTAGTTTATTAATTAAAAAATTGTGCAGTTTCTCTAAATGTCATGACAATATTTTATACCGTCTGTTATTGCTGTGCTTGTTACTGCTGTTGTGGCTCCACAAGCTTTCTTTCTTATCATTGCACAACAAAAATAAAGAATATAAAAAATTAAATTAAAAAAAAAAAAGCAAATAATTTGCAAAAAAAAATAAAACCTCTCATTGTGTTCTAACACAGAATGTGTAGTGCTGTATTTTTGTGTTGCAGCTGCCCCATATAAAAGGTGCATATAAAGTTAATAAATCATCACCTTTTTGGTCGCAAAAAATAAATGTAAAAAATGTGTGTATTATAGCCTCTTTCCGTATAATTTTGTTAATGCATATAACTTATCATTGCATATACGTTTTTCAGTGCATTTCCTGATTTAGCCTCGTTAGCCTCAATACCTAGTTTTTGAAATAAATTTGTAAAATAATATGAACTTTCTAATAATCAAAACTTTTTTCCTGTCTGCAATTACGCCACCAGAGGGCACCTAATTATGGTGACAGACAGTATATTGGGATTTAAATGGACAAAATGAAGACCTGCGCTCAAACTCCCACTACTCCTGTGTGGCAGCAAAGACTATAGTGCACATCAGCCTCATACAATAAAAAGAATAGAAAAACGTTTCATGTGCACTATCCTAAATTCCTATGTACATTTAAATTACTGGAGTTTTTTTAGTTGGGATTTATACAAAGGATGGCGTGGATGTGCATATAAATAGTATCTGTGCACTGTCCTGGAAAATTTACCAGCAAATGTATAGATTTAACGATGCGCTTATCTGAACAGCTCTCCCTACTCACTCAGCATGTTGTGCCCCCTAGTGGCTCAATTGCAGATACAAAATGATCTTGACATGTATACAGGCCATGTGGACTTACTACCAGGATCCAGCAAGCCCCTGAGTGAATCAAACAACAATGGGAGAATCTAGTCCTAACGTCAACCTTTGAAATGCTTTTTAGAATGTTCTATAACACACACAACATATATATTCTCTATCACTACATGATTTACTTATAATTGTTGTTTATATCATGTGTCTTTTATAGTAAAGTTGATGGCTGATTACTGTTATTATTATTGGTATTTATAGAGCGCCAACTTATAACTTATAATATTACAATATTATGAAAGGGGGAAATTTAACAAGAATTGAGACAATTACAAAATGTTAGAGGAACAATAGGTAGATGAGGACCTGATTTTAGAAGTTATGCTCCCACCCATGGTATAATAGATATGACATAAGGGAGGACTTAAAGGAAAACTCTTGGGCCAACATAACAACTGCATAATTTTGACCTCATACTTATGCTGTGATTTTCTCCCTGTTCAAATCTGTTAATTTTTGCTTTTAAAAAAAAAAATGTCCTCCTTATTGGAAGGTAAACAGTGTAGCTCAACCAATGAGAGATCAGAGTAACCAATGAGAGTTCAAGTGAGCCAATCACGGTCCTCCTATTAGCTGTATAGTATTTCAAAGCCAAGCTAAGGGGAAAGGGTGCGAATAAAAAGGCAGTGATTGGCTAATAGGTGCAGTGATGTCAGCTGATCAGTTCACACTGATCTCCCATTGGCTGAGCTGAGTACATATTTAGAATATATCTAATAAGGAAGTTGTGTTGTGAAACGAAGGGGTGTGGCTAAGAGTATGGTGTTACACTGTTAAAAAGTAGCAAAACGGTTTTGCTTTATTTTTTATTTTTTAACAACAACACAGTATGAATATATAGTCAAAATCTATGCACATAGCTTGGTGGTGCATTCAGTAGGACTGGAGTGTCCTTTTAATCCTACCATTAGTTACATAGGGTCTTTAACTATTTACCCACTGGCTCCAAGTGCTGCCCGTATGCAACTAGTTTGCAGTTTGAAAAATTCTTGTCCGAATTTTAAATCTGTGTTTTAGATCTCATTCAGTCACATCTGATTGAAATCTGGCTCACGTGGAGCCAGTATTGACAGGGTGTTGTTGTTTGAATAATCCCGAAAAGATCCGAATGTCGGAGATGATATTTGCAAATCCAGAGCAAAGGGAACAAAAACACTTGGACCGTCTATACATGTTAATGTTTCACAAACGGAAAGATGTTCCATAAACATTATTTACTTTACCTGCTATATCATGGGCTAGATCCTTGATGAGGTGTCCCACAATGGCATATACAGCAGCGACCACTACCAAACCAGCCATGAGGATGTAAAGAACGGCTTTGGGGATTGGTATGAGCTCCTTTTCCACCGGCTTGTAGTCAGTGTAGTTGGGATTCTCATTGGAGACAGAGTACTGAAACGCAGCATAGGTACGATTCGACGTGATGTTCATTGTCTGCAAATTAGATACAAGTTCCATTTCCTAACGAGAGAAGACTGAGAATTAGCCTGGCTCCTCACATGGCCCAAGAGCAAACAGCATGGAATTCTGAGATACAGGGAGACACTGCAATATGTAAACATTGAACTTCCTCTGAAGAAATCTACAGGAATTCTACAAATAGAATCAACTAGCATTTATGTGAGACATAGCATAGTCAGTCCCTTACACCACATGGTGATACAGACAGGAAGTAGCTGTGGAACATGAGTCTGTACCTTCCACCACAGGGGGACACAGACAGTAAGGAGCTGTGGGGTTTGTACTTCCCATCATAGGGTGAACAAGATAGAAGGGGATTATGGGACATACGGTGTGATTCAGGCCTAGTTTCTATTCATTTTTGGTGCAGTTTATGAAATCTTTTAGATTTGTTTTACACTAAAAGTAGTGATAATTGATTGGTGCCCCCTAGTGGCCTAGTTGCAGATGGACTCAGTACTTGGTTTGGGCCCCTTTTGCAGCAATCACTGCCTCAATGCGGCGTGGCATGGAAGCTATCAGCCTGTGGCACTGCTGAGTTGTTGTGGAAGACCAGGATGCTTCAATAGCAGCCTTCAGCTCTTCTGCATTGTTCGGTCTCATGTCTCACATCTTTCTCTTGGCAATGCCCCATACATTCTCTATGGGGTTCAGGTCAGGCGAGTTTGCTGGCCAATCAAGCACAGTAATCCCACGGTAATTGAACCAGGCTTTGGTGCTTTTGGCAGTGTGGGCAGGTGCCTGCTGGAAAATGAAGTCATCATCCCCATAAAGCTCGTCTGTGGAAGGAAGCATTAAGTGCTCCAAAATCTCCTGGTAAATGGCTGCGTTGACCCTGGACTTAATGAAGCACAGTGGACCAACACCAGCAGATGACATGGCTCCCCTAATCAACACAGACTGTGGAAACGTCACACTGGACTTCAAGCATCTTCTAGTGTGTGCCTCTCCATTCTTCCTCCAGACTCTGGGTCCTTGGTTTCAAATGAGATGCAAAAGTTGCTCTCATCAGAAAAGAGGACTTTGGACCACTGAGCAACAGACCAGGTCTGTTTTTCTTTAGCCCAGGTAAGACGCTTCTGACGTTGTTTGTTGTTCAGGAGCGGCTTGACAAGAGGAATACGACATCTGAAGCCCATGTCCAGGATCCGTCTGTGTGTGGTGGCTCTTGATGCACTGACTCCAGCCTCAGTCCACTCCTTGTGAAAGTCCCCAACACTTTTGAATGGCCTTTTCCTGACAATCCTCTCCAGGCTGCGGTCATCCCTGCTGCTTGTGCACCTTTTCCTTCCACACTTTTCCCTTCCACATAACTTTCTATTAATATGCTTTGATACAGCACTTTGGGAACATCCAACTTCCTTCGCAATTACCTTTTGAGGCTTTCCCTCCTTATGGAGGGTGTCAATTATGGTTTTCTGCACAACTGTCAGGTCAGCAGTCTTCCCCATGATTGTGATTCCTACTGAACCAGACTGAGAGACCATTTAAAGGCTCAGAAACCCTTTGCAGGTGTTATGGCTTACTTAGCTGATTAGAGTGGGACACTGTGAGCCTAGAATATTGCACCTTTTCACAATATTCTAATTTACTGAGATTGTAGATTTGGGGTTTTCATGCCACTTATGACAAATCTCAGCTTGAACTATCTTGCTTTGCATGTAATGCGTCTATCTCATATATTAGTTTCCCCTTTTACGTTGCATTACTGAAATAAATGAACTTTTGCACGATATTCTAATTTTTCGAGTATCACCTGTATGTCAAACCAGAAGGCATTCTACATGTCATCACATACCACATACCAATCCATCCTTAAAAAGAATATATTTCAATGATTTAACAGCCTATCATCCCACCAAGTTGCAGGCAATCCCGTTACATAATTCTTTGTCTTTGGCCATTAAATATATTTTCCCATTTCGCTTGTCAAACTTATCGAATATACAAGCATACCTTCAATATCGCTCTCTGTCTTTGGAATAGTGAAAAATGTCTCATGACTAAATAACATTGTTATTCAGCTGTTATCACCTCTTCATGCTGATGGTCCCCTTAGTATGCTATAGGAGAAAAATGAATTGACTACTGAAGGCTGTTTGATATGTAAAATCATATGTGGCCAGAAATACATTTTAGATCTGGCAAAGCTACTGATAGCAGCAGACTGTAGCTTAAAAACCTCCTTACCATTTGGGTAGACCCTTCTTTATGTTAGAGTGTTAGCTCTGTAGGTGTAGTGTATACCTGGCTTACTTTATTGTATCACTTCTTTCTATCCTGGTAGCTGTGTCAGATCAATAAACTAAATTCATAAAAATGCTATAAAACAAAAGCATTAAATGCATTCATTATTATAAATAAAAGGTTGCAAGGAATACTCACAGTTTGTTTATTTTCCTGAAAAAAAAAACCCCGGAATTGCTAAAATATTTCTTTCTAGAGAATAATTCCAATCGGAATGTTCTTTGAAGCTTTTCTTCAAGTGCTATCTGTCGAGCTTATTGCTAAGGATGTCAAGTGGTTTACAGTAATATTGCTTATTCAAGTCCCTCCCCACAGCATGTTGTCTGCATGTGCCCTGTGATCTGTGACTTAAGATTACAGGGGACAACAGGAGCTTCTTGTCATATGCCAACTGTTCTTGTACTTAGCCGCCTCTGTCACATTGCAGGAGGACAGTGACGTCTCGGTGGTTTCTTTTGTGTTTTGTTAAATGGATATAGATTCTGAATTGTTTGTAGTGCCTGTAAGGACGGGTTTGTAAAGGAAAAAAGGCGCAAGAGCGATACTTTAAAGATAACTAATATTTTGTATTTCTTACCTTATTATTCTGTGGTTGATGCTGTATCTCATGGGAGTGTAGCCCCATTGGCGCCTCTTTATTTCACAAAGAGTGAATTTAAAAATGAATTGCATTTATTTCACAAAACAAAATGCTGATTTGGAAAAATTCTCCAAACCTGCTACAGTTACAAATTGATGGTTTTAGCCAGAGTTTGCAAACTTGAATTTCTTCAGTATATTTACATCTGATACTTTTTACATAAGGCGCTTTTTAAAGAGATCTATTACCTCCAATTCTGTTTCTGACATTTCTAATTGAACATTATAAAAAAAATCTTGTTGATGACAAGCTTCCTTTCAGAGAGCCGCTAATCTATATCTGAAATCCGCCCCCCAAAACGCACCTTCACTTGTGTGTTTCGTAACCCCTCTTTTGAATTTCCTACCCCCTTCAGCCCCTTTTGTGTTTCTTATCCCCTCTCTCCCTCTCTTTTTTTTTTACCCCCTTTTGTTATTTGTATGTCTTACACCCACGTCAGATTAGTTTATCTCACCCACTGGCGGAACTACCGTGGTCGCAAGGGTCGCAGCTGCGACCGGGTCCGTCATTCCAGGGGACCCGGCTGCCCTGTTGACCCCTGCGACTGGGGTGCCCGCCAGCATTTTGATGCGGCCCCCGACTGCGCGGAAAAAAAGCCGGGGGCCACATTGAAGGAGCCCATCGGATGGCCCATGCTCTTGGTTAGGGCGCTTTAAGCATGCGACCGCGCCCCTGTGATGATGTCAGAGCTGGGAGGAAGCCATCACTTCCTCCCAGCCAACAGAGCGCCGCACAGGAGGAGGGAGTCAGAGTGGGAGCTCTGACTCCCATCAGCATGAAGCAGCCACTGGACCCCAGATAAGTTACAATTTTTGTGTGTGTGATAGAGAATGTCTGTATCAGTATATCTGTGTGTGTGTGTGTGTGTGTCTGTATGTCTATATGTACGTGTCACTGTTTGTATGTGTGTCTGTATGTATGTGTGTGTGTTTGTATGTTTGTCTGCAAATTTTGCACTGGGGCCCTGTGGTTACTAGTTATGCCTCTTATCTCACCTTTTGTGAGTTTTCCATCCACTTTTAAGTCTCTTACAACCCCTCCTTGTGTATCTCTTTCTTCCCCCAAGCCTCTTTGATTGTCTCTTACTTCCCTGCCAGCCCCTTGTTGTGTCTCTTTCTTTCCCTTAGACCCTTTCTGTATCTCATACTCCCTCTCGGCCCCTTTGTGTGGCTCTTTCTTCCCCCGCTACCATTTTCTGTGTCTCTATTCACTCCCCCGTCCTTTTGCGTGGCTCTTTCTCCCCTCAGCCTGTTTTGTGTGTATTGCCTCTCCTAGTCCCTTTGTGTGGCTTTTCACCCCCAGCCATACAGACATAGATATACAGGCAAAAATACATGCATGCAAAAATACTCAAACATACAGACACACAACCATACAGGCACACAGATGAAGTTATTCAGGCACACAGTCATAAAAGGCACACAATAAAAAAAAAACCAGTCATACAGGCACACAATCTACACATACATGTACACTGTCACAAAGACAAAGACATACAGTCACACAAAGCTTTACAGGCACTGTCATTCAGAGACATACATACACTATAATACAGACAGACATAGTCATAAAGACACAGTCATACACTGACGTACAGTCATATATATCAGAAACGGCTCTGCGGAGTTCCCAGCAGCTTAGCCCTATCACTAGGTGCCGAGCTGTGTTACACAGGGAGTAGGGATATGACGTGATCCATATTCCCGAGCCCTCTATTCAGCCTGACCCAGTGCTGATGGGCTGGACAGAGGTGCTGGACCACGCTACACGAAGTGACAGCGCTCCCCTCCTGCCGGTCACCCAAACATTGCACCCCCGGGGCCGGTGCACCCTAACGCGTAACCAGTGCTCTGGCTATTGGCTATATTCTCAAATCTTTATGAACACTTTTACTTATAAGGGTGGATTATTTACTATTATAATGAGCATTGGAGTAAAATGTGGATATAATCAGGTTAATGTGAGCTAGAATTGTATTATATTGTAACTAGAAAAGCTACAATTTCTGGGGAAATTGTGTGAAGTGTTCTTGCCTCCACCAGTAGTCTACAAATGGAGTGGGCGGAGTAACTGGGTGGAGTGGCTTGAGTAACTGTTGTGTGGTTGGAGTGGCTGGAGTAACTGTGGAAAGGTTGGAGTGTGGTTCACTCACTCTACAGCAAGGGCAGAGAAGAGCTTTCAAATCTTTCAAACCCCTCGAACATTCCACCAACTGCCAACAGGAACTAATAGATTTCAAATAGGGCAGAGAAGAGCTTTCAAATCTTTCAAATCCCTCGAACATTCCACCAACTGCCAACAGGAACTAATAGATTTCAAATAGGGCAGAGAAGAGCTTTCAAATCTTTCAAATCCCTCGAACATTCCACCAACTGCCAACAGGAACTAATAGATTTCAAATAGGGCAGAGAAGAGCGGTTAAAAACAAACTGCTACAAATTACTCACTTCACTAGCGGTTGCCATCTTCAAACGGTCGTATTATAAATCCTACAGCGAAGAGCTTTATGTTGTGAGAATCACAAGACCCTGACCTACATTTTGATGCATAGTATGTCTCCGAAATATTAAAAATGAAGGCACAGTCGCAGTTTAGATATTGCCCTTCAAATTTGAGGTGGCTAGAGTGAAGTTTCAATGAATGTCAATAGACGGCGCGAGTTGCAAACAAATGGTCATATTGTGAAAACTATCAGGACTATGGCTTAGCCGTGGACATGTTTAGTGTAACGGAGTCTTACCTGATAGGGAGTCCAGCTCGCAGAGTTATACGCTCACCCTTGCAAAGTAGACACAGACCAGGGTGACCAGGTAAGACGCCACCTGGCCTGTGAGTCTGTGCACGGGGGCTTTCCAGGAAAGGTGCTCCAAGACTCAGTACAGCAGGGATAAGCAGAAGCGTGGTCAAGGGAAGCCAAAATCAGGGAAGCCAGAGGTCAGAGTAGTCCAGGAGGAAAGCCAAGGTCAGAAGCCGGAAAGACAAGAATCACTGGAACGCAGGTACAGAGTAACAGGAACCAAACAAGAGAACCAGAGTCAATGAACTGACACCCCTCCCAGGGTGAGGCAGGCTTTTATATCCTGTTAATTAGGATCAGATTCAGCTGGAGTTACTGACAGATCAGAGCCTTTGGTGAAGTCCAGCCCCCTGGTGCTGCAGGCAATACAAGAATAAACAGGGAGTTATCCAAAGTCCTGAAATGGCTCAGAGGAAGAACAGCAGGATATGGTCCAGAAGAACCACAGTTCAAATCCCCTATCGGGCGCTTCCAGAGCGACCACGTCTGGCAGACTGGATGTCACGGCGTGGACCGTGACAGTACCCCCCCCGTCAAGAACGCCCTCCGGGCGTGAACAGGCTCTTCCTGGAAATGGTACTCTTCATCTTCAGTATCAGTATCACTAAGATAGTCTTTGTAATCAAAGTCTACAGACTGGGACTTTATGGTACCAGTTTCGGGTGCTATAGGGGAGGCATTTGCAGCTTTCAAAGCTTTTTCGAATATTTCTAGATCTTGTTTACACACAACTGTGCCATTTGAGGCATAGGTGCAGTCAGGAGGCAGAACTGTTTTGGCAAGGCAGGAAGTGGTGATGGTGCTTGCTTGAACAGAAGTGTTATCAGGAAGAGGTCCAAATTTTTCTAGAGCAAGAGGTGAAGTTTCCACAGAGGTACTGGTAACATTAACGGTATTGGTTTGGGTACCCTTTTGTGTCACAGGACGGGGACAGGGCTGGCAGTGTCCAGGCTGTCTTACTGGGATGACAGGGTAAGTCCAAATGGCACCAGACAGAAGGGGTCTTGTCCTAAGTGGACGAGTCGGGCAGAGCGATATGAAATGCCCTCTTTTCCCACAGTATAGACATAGACCATGGGCTCTCCTGCGGTCTTTTTCCTTTGGGGGCAATCTAGTTCTGGTGAAGCCAATCTCCATGGGTTCCTCCATGTCGACTGGAGTTTCACTGCTAGCGCGAGTGTAAACAGGGTTACAAGGCGGGTCCCTGAAAGTGGGTTCATGCTGCAACATGATGGGATTTTTGTATCCATAAAACAATTCCTCTTCTCTCGGCAACCGGGTTCTGCGAGAACCTGAAGTAGGCTTGGAAGTTGCTTTTCTCGCTGCAAAACACTGAGAATCCATTGCGGACATAAACAACTCCCAGGAGTCCAAGACAGTACTTCTCTCCTGCAACTTCTGGTGTGCCCACGCCTTAATTCGCCCGGTACATAGGTTAATAGCGGAGCGTACTTTGATAAAGTCGGTGGCGTAGGTTCTCGATTTCAGGGCAAATAGTAGCTCACAATCCGTCTTGAACATCGGAAAAGCAGAACGGGAACCGTCGAACCTGTCAGGCATAAAGACATACGGTTCTGGGCATACATGTTCCGGGACTGCAAGCGTTGCTCCTTTCAATGCCAATGAATGTCTCTGCAATTCTGTAACATTCTGGGACAGGTTGGAGACTTGCTCGGCCAGGGAGGTGAGTAACTTGTATAACTCTGCAGACTCCATTGGTCAGTTCATCTGTAACGGAGTCTTACCTGATAGGGAGTCCAGCTCGCAGAGTTATACGCTCACCCTTGCAAAGTAGACACAGACCAGGGTGACCAGGTAAGACGCCACCTGGCCTGTGAGTCTGTGCACGGGGGCTTTCCAGGAAAGGTGCTCCAAGACTCAGTACAGCAGGGATAAGCAGAAGCGTGGTCAAGGGAAGCCAAAATCAGGGAAGCCAGAGGTCAGAGTAGTCCAGGAGGAAAGCCAAGGTCAGAAGCCGGAAAGACAAGAATCACTGGAACGCAGGTACGGAGTAACAGGAACCAAACAAGAGAACCAGAGTCAATGAACTGACACCCCTCCCAGGGTGAGGCAGGCTTTTATATCCTGTTAATTAGGATCAGATTCAGCTGGAGAGTTACTGACAGATCAGAGCCTTTGGTGAAGTCCAGCCCCCTGGTGCTGCAGGCAATACAAGAATAAACAGGGAGTTATCCAAAGTCCTGAAATGGCTCAGAGGAAGAACAGCAGGATATGGTCCAGAAGAACCACAGTTCAAATCCCCTATTGGGCGCTTCCAGAGCGACCACGTCTGGCAGACTGGATGTCACGGCGTGGACCGTGACATTTAGTGGCAGCAGAGATAGCTGAACGTTTTGATATAAGATTTGTGTAGGTGGGCTTGAAAATGAGGGTGTGGTGGCAGTTTAGAAATCATGTCCTGATTGTACAGCTCACACGGTCTATGACATCACTGACTCTTTCTTTGCTGCTATAGCCAGGCACAGGTAAGAGTATTTTGCCTCTGCTGATTACTTTTCATTCTTCAAATGGTTGTATTTTAAAAACTATAAATCCTACAGCTAAGGGCTTTATGTTGTGAGAATCACAAGACCCAGACCTACATTTCGATGCATAGTATGTCTCTGAAATATTAACAATGAAGGCACAGTCGCAGTTTAGATTTTGCCCTTCAAATTTGAGCTGGCTAGAGTGGAGTTTCAATGAATGTCAATGGACGGCGTGAGTTGCAAACAAATGGTCATAATGTGAAAACTATATGAGCCCCGTCCCCTCCTACAAACCCCTGTCCCGCCCTGTCTACAAATCCTGTACTGCCCCCCTTCTACAAAACTCCTACAACCGCCTTCCACTAATCCCCTTATAAAGACTCCTGTCCCAATACAAAACCCCTGCCCCTTCTACAAAATCCCTGCTGCCCTAAACACACATTTACAGGCAGATAGTCACACACACACACACAGTTACAGGCATACAGTCACACACAGTTACAGGCAGACAGTTACACATACAGTCAGAAACAGTCATGCACACAGTTATAGGCAGACAATCACATATACATTCACACACACGGTCACAGGCAGACAGTCACACACAGTAAAAGGCAGCAGCAGACAGTCACATGCACACAGTCACAGACAGATAGTCACACACGGTTACAGGCAACATCAAACAGTCACAGGCAGACAGTCACACATACAAAGTCACATGCAGACTGTCACACACACAGTTATATGCAGACAGTTACACACACAGTCAGTTACAGATAGTCACACAAACAGTTACAGGCAGACAGTCACATATACAGTCACACACAGTCATAGGCAGAGAGTCACACGCACATACACAGTTACAGTCACACACACAGTTAAAGGGAACATCACACAGTCACAGGCAGACACACATACACACACCGTTACTGGCAGACAGACACACACAGTTACAGGCATGCAGTTGATGTAGAATTATTAAAATCTTTATTAGAACCTGTATTGAATTATTGTACTAACTCCATTTTTAATCTCACACTATGACAGAATTCTCCATTTTGTTCACCTTACATGACAGAATTTCCTGACAGTATTCAGTATAATGAATAAGAGATTGTATTTTCTCTCTCTAAGGACATAACTAGCCCCGGAGTTAGCGGATCTCCGTTGACTTGCAACATAGTATAATCCAAGGCCAGGAGAACAGCGACTAAATGAAATGTTCTATTCATAAAAGAACCTTGGACCAGACCACGAGACTGACATCACTAACTACGTAAAATGATGCCCAAGCCCCCCCTTTCCACCGAGTAAGCCTCGTGCTAAAGAGCAATGACATCCCATGATGGGAGGGTGCCTCACTAGTCACTCAAATCTCTGAGCCAATTAATAATATTAATGGGTGGACACTGACATAGCCACTTAACATTTAACCCAATTAATGATGTTTATTTGTTATTATCTGATATTCAATGATGATGTCATTTTGCATATAAAAAGGCCTGCGTGCCCGCTTTTTAACTAGATGCTAATAAATTTCCTGAAGTGTTTTTAACCTGAACTGCATGTGTCAGTGTGAACTTACTTCTGCGTATACGCAATTTATTCATCTCAGATTTGGACAGGAACAGATAGACTTTTAAACATTTTTGTTTATTTCTAAATTAATCCACATCACAGTCACACACACACAGTTACAGGCATGCTGTCACACACACACACACAGTTACAGGCATGCAGACACACAAACACACTCTTACAGGCATGCAGTTACACACACATACACACACAGTTACAGGAAGACAGTTACACACACACACATACACAGTTACAAGCAGGCAAACAGACACACACACACACAGTTACAGGCATGCAGACACAAACACACTCTTACAGGCATGCAGTTACACACACACACACACACACACAGTTACAGGAAGACAGTTATACACACACACACACTTACAGGAAGACAGTTACACACACACACAGTTACAGACAGACAGTTTGACAGACACAGTCACACACACACTATTACTTACAGACAGGAGCTGGAGGAGGAGTGGATTTCCTTCTTGCTGCACCTCCATGTGCAGCAGTAACAGCAGCGGGTAAGGGCCATATTAAGCTCCGGCCCCGCTGTCGGTTTGGCTCCGCCCCCACTTTACCTCTGTGCGGCCAGTTCAGCTGCTCTTATCGTGCTCTTAGCGTGTGTGAGCTGTTCTGGCCGCACGGCACCCTAACTGCCACTGCACTGTGTGCCCTTACAACTCACACAGCCCCCTCCAGCTCCCAGACCAGGGTCATGGCACCCCCCACCCTTTAGTTTCACAATATCAGGTATTATATTTTGTCTCTAATTATATCCCCCTGTAATAGCAGCCATAAAATGTCCAGGCTATTGGCTCATAATGGGCAGATTAATGTGATTAAACATGTGAAAACAGGGGCTCTTTTATTTTAATGGGTATGTGAGGGTGATTCAGGAGGTGTGAACATTGACACCATTAAACCTTATTTCTATTCAGCCGCCATTTTCCCCACAAAACAGCCTCACTCTTCCCAAAGCCACGCCCATTCTGACCAGCCAATCGTATTGCAGCAATACAGAACGCCAGACTTTTCCCGCCGTTTCGTGCTCCTTGAGCTACTCAGCGCACCGCCCTGCTAGCCCGCGCAATCTCAGTTTCTCCCGCCAAAAGTAAGTTCCTCCAATCACAGCCAGCGGCCTCGTGCGGTTGGCGCCTTTCTGGCCTGTCACGTGCTCCCACCTGTCTCCCAGCATTGTGAGTTGAGTTTCCTCATTATGGGGAATGTGTGAGCTGCCATTAACACTGTCTGTCTCTGTGCTAGATCGCAGTGCCATCAGCTGGCTTCAACTGGCACTAAAAGGGTGGTTAGTGTGTCTTCCTGGAACCATTGCTGTAATTAGACTTCTGATACTGTCATAGCTCCCAATTGACCCTTTGTAGAAGGGACAGTCCCTATCTCTGGGTCTGACTCCATCTGGATCACTTTTCTATCCTTATGTCCCTTTTTTGTTGTTGTTGCTATGAGCTCTACATTGTTGGTGTGTCTGATTGAGTGTATAACAGAGCTCCACAGCAATAATACTCCCAGTAATGTGTCTGAGTGTATAACAGAGCTCCACAGCAATAATACTCCCAGTAATGTGTCTGAGTGTATAACAGAGCTCCACAGCAATAATACTCCCAGTAATGTGTCTGAGTGTATAACAGAGCTCCACAGCAATAATACTCCCAGTAATGTGTCTGAGTGTATAACAGAGCTCCACAGCAATAATACTCCCAGTAATGTGTCTGAGTGTATAACAGAGCTCCACAGCAATAATACTCCCAGTAATGTGTCTGAGTGTATAACAGAGCTCCACAGCAATAATACTCCCAGTAATGTGTCTGAGTGTATAACAGAGCTCCACAGCAATAATACTCCCAGTAATGTGTCTGAGTGTATAACAGAGCTCCACAGCAATAATACTCCCAGTAATGTGTCTGAGTGTATAACAGAGCTCCACAGCAATAATACTCCCAGTAATGTGTCTGAGTGTATAACAGAGCTCCACAGCAATAATACTCCCAGTAATGTGTCTGAGTGTATAACAGAGCTCCACAGCAATAATACTCCCAGTAATGTGTCTGAGTGTATAACAGAGCTCCACAGCAATAATACTCCCAGTAATGTGTCTGAGTGTATAACAGAGCTCCACAGCAATAATACTCCCAGTAATGTGTCTGAGTGTATAACAGAGCTCCACAGAAATAATACTCCCAGTAATGTGTCTGATTGTATAAGAGAGCTCCACAGAAATAATACTCCCAGTAATGTGTCTTTAAACTATCCCCCTTCCCACATAAAGTAAAAATGCACCTTCATAGGTGTGTATCTTAATCCCCTCTTTACATTTCTTACCCACTTTAGTGTATTTTATCCCGCCCTTTTGTGTCTTACACCCCCTTGTGTGTGGCACCCTGGACACAGATACACACGGACATTTACACACATGGATATGCAGACTGAGACCTACACACTGACACAAATTTAGATATATACACACATAGATGTAATCATTTTAATATTTTTAGCCACCTTCTGCTTACCTTTTTTGTGCCGGAGGGTGCCTCCCCTAGGGTCCTGCTGAGGCTGATGGGAGTGTGAGTCTGAGGCTGGTTCTCTTCCCCCACTCCCGTGCTTTTTTCCTCCTGCATGGCTCACTCTGTAGCTTGAAGGAAGTGACCTGCACTCACTTCCTCCTAGTCAGACGATACTCCAGGGGCCCGTTCGCCCTGGTAAAGGGCCTCTGTGCCAGAGCGGGCTGCAGTTCACTAACTGCATGGACCACCCAGTCACCCCTCTGCAATGTGCGGGTCCAGTCACTGCACTGGCTGTAGTTTCAGAGCTGCCTTCCGCCCCTTTCTACATCTTTTTCACCCACCCAGCCCCTTTGTGTGTTTCTTTCTCTCCTATTTCTCTTTGTGTCTCTTTGTTGCAATGGCCGCGCACGCATTAGACCTCCCCAGAGGAAAGCATTATTCAGTGCTTTCCCATGGGGATTCCGGGGACGCTGAAGGTCCTAGACAGCCACTAGAGGAGGACTTCACCCTGCAAGGTAATTATTGCAGTTTATAAAAACTGCAATAATTACACTTGCAGGTTTAAGGGTGATGGAAGTTGGCAACCAGACCACTCCAATGGGCAGACGTGGTCTGGGTGCCTGGAGTGTCCCTTTAAACACCTTCACTGTGTTACCCTCTATCACTTCAGCTGGAAGGCTATTCCATGCATCCACTACCCTCTTAGTAAAGTAATACTTCCTGATACTATTTTTAAACCTTCGTCCCTCTTATCTCCTCCTAGCGTGGCTGGGCGGACCTCGGTAGAGGATCTTTTGTATCTTATACCCGGTCTGACAGAAAGCCATTAGTTGTTCTCAGTGAGCAGCTTCCTGTCATACTGAGTACGCGATACAGAAGATTCTCTACCGCGGTCTATGCCGCTATGCTATATGTAGTGACTGGTAGGAGGGGAAGCACTCCTGCTGATCACTTGCATATTGTGCCCTGTATTCCTAAACACTATAGTATTTATCTAACTGCACTAATGTCCCTCCTCCGTTTAAGGGCTTGAAGGGTGAGTTTTACATACCTTTCATCCCTCTCTGCGCCAGTCTCAGTCCTCCTGACACGCCAATCCTTTGCTTTCCCATAGGATACTATGTACTTTGCCTGTTCTAATGTCATATTGCAAATATTTTACTAAAAATACACTGCAAAAAAAAGTAAGTGTAAAGTACTTTTTTTTACTATCTTATTTCAGATAAGTAATGTCCGAACGAGAGCTTGATGCCGCAGAGGGGAAGGAAAAATCATACAAACCCAGTAATTCCAAACCTGAACATACAGGGGCAACCTCAAGCAAAGCAGCTTCTCGGTGAGACACTCAATACAGCAGCGTCCTAAGGGGGGATCCCAGTGACAGGCACCAGCGGGTTGCACACAGCAAACACCTTTCACTAGAGTAGGCACCTGCCTATCGGCATACTCAAGTGTCTGCTCTGCAGTTTTAAATGAGATGGTGAGCTGCAGGAATCAGTCTGTGCTCTGACGGTACAACTCCCACACAGTACTGATTCAAGGAGGTAACATCACCCCAACATCAGTACAGAGCTGCAGGGAGCTGTGCACTGCTGTTTGCAGACTGTTCCCAGCAGCTAACCTCTAGACACCAGGGATAAGGGTATGTGTGTGTTTATGAAAGTGAGCTTGTGTGTATACAAATGTGAATGTACGTGTTTGTAATTTCCATAACAAATGGTTGTTCCGGCATTGCAGAGAGAGAGACAAAAACAATCAACACTTGGGGCGGGGGGTGCGCCAATATACATTTCCATCCTGAGTGCCAGTTAACCCAGACCTGCCTTGGTCACAGTATAATGTCTATGGTAAGCTTTATGCTTAGAGAATCATCTAGCTATAAATGTAATTAATGAGCTGTTGGAACAGTGGTGTAAGACTGATGGGGTCCTACTGCAACCATGATCAGGGGGCATGTAAACCCTTGTGTACCTACTGTCATGGGAAAAAGAAAGTACACTCTCTTTGAATTTTATGGTTTTACATATCAGAACATAATAACAATCATTTGTTCCTTAGCAGGTCTTACAGTTCGATAAACACAACCTCAGATGAACCACAACACATGGCATATTACAACGTGTCATGATTTATTTAACAAAAACGAAGCCAAAATGGAGAAGCCAGGTGTGGAAAACTTAGTACACCTTATGTATAAATAGCTTACAGAGCCACCCTATGCAGCAATAACTTGAAATAATAATTTTCTGTATTACTCTATCAGTCTCACATATTGTTGTGGTGGAATTTTGGCCCACTCTTTACAACGTTGCTTCAGTTCATTGATGTGCGATTGGGCCGTTGCAACACATTGATTCTTTTTTAGCCATTCTGCTGTAAATGTACTGGTGTGCTTGGGATCACTGTCCTGTTGCAGAAGCCAAGCTTTAGCTGTTGGACACATGGCCTCACATTTGACTCTATAATAATTTGGTATACAGAAGAGTTTGTGGTCAACTCGATGACTGCAAGGTTCCCAGTTTCTGTGGCTCCAAAACAAGTCTAAATCATCACCCTTCCATCACCGTGCTTGACATTTAGCATGATGTGTTTGTGCTAATATGCTGTGTTTGGTTTTTGCCAAACGTGGCACTGTGCCTTATGGACAAACATCTCCACTTTGGTCTCATCTGTCCAAAGAACTTTGTTCCAGAAGTCTTGTGGTTTGTTCAGATGCAACTTTGCATAATTTCTCAGATCATTGCATGGTCCGACCTTGGGGTGAATTTGCTGGGATGTCAACTCCTGGGAAGATTGGCAACTGTCTTGAATGTTTTCCACTTCTGAATAACCCTTCTCAAAGTAGAATGGTGGACTTTAAATTATTTGGAAACGGCCTCATAGCCCTACCCTGTTTGATGGGCAACAACAATTGCTTCTCTAAGATCATTGCTGATGTCTTTCCTCCTTGGCATTGTGTTAACACATTCCTGAATGCTCCAGATCAGCAAATTGCTAAAACTTTGGCTTTTATAGAGGTGGTCACACTTGCTGATGATCAATTAATCAAGAAGATTTGATTAGCAGTGTCTGTCTACTACTTAGCCTCTTAATTTCCATGGAAGCAGTAAAGGTGTAATTAGTTTTTCTCCATTTTGACTTTATTATTTTTAAATAAATCATGACACAGTGTAATATACCATGTGTTGTTGTTCATCTGAGGTTGGATTTACCTAATTTTAAGGAAGAGCACTAGTAGTAGCCCATGCTCTACCCCTTTAGATCACCTCATAGTCAGGAGTAGCCCATTCTTTCCTGTCACCATTGAGCATCCCATTCTCAACCCCCTATTGTGGTTAGAGCTGTGGTATAGGATTGCAGATAATTAATGTGAGATGCACAGAACTGTGCTGATTGGTACTGTATGGATCATTTTCTGTGCAGCTGCACTCATTCCTGCTGGTTTATAAAGTGGAGTGACTGCTTTCCCACAAGTGGCTTTATCATGTCTGCTGGGGACACAATATTTCGAACTAACTGGGCCAGTGTGTTGTGGCTTAATTGTATAGGTGAAATTGTGAACCAAAATTACATCTATGCATTGTTTTTTGTATAATTTAGCCTGGTTTGGTGTGTGCGTAGCTCCTAGAAACATAATTTATGTGATTGTTTTATGCATAAGGATTTGAAAGTAGAATGTTTTCAATGTTAATTAATGTAGGTTTTGTCTTTGCTTCTGCAGGCCTCAGAGCCCATTGTTGACCAATGCTGTACCAGATATGGCGTCCAGCATTGGCTCAGAGGAAAATAGCAACTACTGTGAGGCTCTAGAAGCCACGTTGGAGGCTCTGCAGAGCAGGGCACAGAGGCTGGTTGATAAAATTAATGAAGGGCGCACTAAGGACCAGGAGCTAATGAAGAGCTTTAATGAAAGCCTTGCAATGAAGGTATGACACCTCTGACACAAATTTAATATAATATGACATAAGAGGATTATTCATAATCATACCATAATCACTACAGCTGTTGCAGTTATATTTCACAAAGAGAAAAGCCCAGCCCGCCTCGTGCAGAGAGATCGTCCGTATCTCCCGCCAGGGGCCCAACAGGCCTTGAGTAGCTGGAGGCCGCAGCTGCCGTCTTGCAGAAGTGAGGAGACCTGAAGTTTGCTCCAAAGTTGCCCATGGGGTACCAAGTAACAGTTTGCATAGAAATTTATAGTGAGCGCTCAAACTGTATATATGGGCTACTGTAATAAAGTATTACCAGGTGCTCAAAGGGAAAATGTGATCCCCCACCAGATCCATAAACCTAGTAGATAAAGAAACCCCAAGTACACCAGATTTAGTATGCGCATAAAAAATCTTTTATTTGTTTACAAAGTGGATAAACACAGATAATATAAGAAAGAGTGCAGATAATAATACAGGCATGTAACTATTAATTAGTATACCACTTAAACATAAAACATGCAAAAGAAGGTGCTCAAGATAGAAATCCAAAAACCCATATTAAAACAGGCATACTGACCAGAGAGCAGGAGACAAAAAAAACAACATTTCGCCAAAACTGCCTTCCTCAGGACACGTCATCTACTAGGTACCGAGGGTTTTTTCTTCTCCCTTAAAGTCGCTTTATAAGCAGAGTCAAGCCGGAGCTTAAGCAGCATGCGACCAGCCAGTATAGCGTCCAAGCCCCGCCCTGCCCTGTTTATTGAACTTTTTAAGGGAATAAGGGATACAGATAGTATAAGGAGGAGTAGGACAGAGAGCAAATCTAACAAGTGAGAAACATCACATAGGTAGCATCACATACGTACTGTATGGTAGGCAAAATACATCATCCATCCACTAATAATCATGGCTAAAACATAATTACATGCTTCAATTACTTAGAATTCATAGAATGAATAGCACTTATTCCATTATTGCTTCGAAAATAGAACATATGGCCAAGGTTGGTAGATTCACAACCAAGGAAAACATTCATATTCTCCACATATTGAGCGAAAAAGACATCATAAATCAGGGTATTTTATTCTACGGGACACAGAGCACTCTCCGGTGCCCGTCTGCCGCCACGCATTCTGCTGGAATCATATGCAAGCAGACAGGCAATCCGGGGCCTCTAAATAAAAGAACTAAGCTTGTAGACCAGAGAGGATAGACTTCATATCCGGGGGAGATGGTGAGCTGGCTTGACATGTCTGTGCCAACTTTGGTTTCCTCCGTGTGACTTGCATCTTTGCAGTTGCAGGTTTAGCTGCAAAAAATTAGGCTCTATCCATTTTCTCAGCTCTCGGGTTGTGCCTCTTTAACATCCTAAGGCTGCCTTCTAAACATTGAAGTGTGTTCCCTGCCACTAAATACATTTTAATGCTGTTCCTGGCTTAGTCAGACGGATCTCAGAAAAACACGTCTATGTTACTCCAAGTCGGGTCCACGCCCCCTCCATCACATTTTTTTTAATACATTTTGACTCCTATTGTGGGTCTAGTAGATATACCTAGAAATTCATCATTACCTAATTAGAAGATGGAAACACAAGAAGCAGTCTAGTTTTATTGCACCCAAGATAGATATCCAAAATTATATATATTCTTTTAAACTCTTATTTCAGGAATCACTAAAATGTTGATTCCTAGTTGTTGCAGATCTCCAACTCTACAACAGGATGACAAAGCATCATGGGATTTGTAGTTCTGGAACAGATGGGAATCTACCTTTTAATTTTGGACTCCGTTGGCTTCTGAACATCAAATTGCAAATCAGAAATGTAAAAATGTTCTTTTTCTGCATCCTGAGATCATGCAGCTAGGGGTTTATTTATGTACTTTTGTGAAGGCAAATTAAAAGATTACCCAGTTCTAACATGTTTATGTAAGCAGCTTTGAGCACATTATTGTAACTGAATTTAATCCCCCAAGAAAGCAGATACCTGGAGCAATTAGTTAGAAAGCTGCACAGGATATCCTCAGTCCTGTTTGTCAAAGCAAGAGTTAGTGCCAGCTGCTACAATAATCAAAGGGATTTTTATTGTAACAATTTACATCTGAGTATCATATTTGCATTTCACTTGGTAGCAAAACATAATGAAGCCATATTCAGCTTGTTTCATTTTCACACCTGTATTTTAAGTATTGATGTGATAGTTAAAAAAAAAATGTAATATCTCCGTCCATCCACAGTTCTTTTGGGCTTTAGTTCCGCAGGACCAGGCAAGAGGGCAAATTTGTTTGCCTGATTACCATGAAATGCCGTAAAGGCACTTCAAGCATCATGGCCACTACAGTGGGCTGTAGAGGTTATGATGATTGGAGTAACCTTTTGCTTATTTAAGTTTTATGGGGAAAGAATGTCTATGGCGCTCAGCGCTCCTGATCCTGGCTTCCTTAACTCTCTACAGTGTAGTATGAGGAAGAGATTACCAGGTAGCCACTGATAGGCACAGGCTGCGTTACATACTATTTTCTACATGGGTGGCAGTTGATAGGATGAGAGCATCATACTCTCAGACTGTCAGCTGCTGCCTAGCTAATCCTTCATTGTACTGCTCTCCAGAGAGGAATAGAATACAGTACACCTGTAAACACCTGTAAATCATAGTAACTTAAATCAGAACTAGTTTAACCTGTTATGTATGGCTCCATAGCTCAGGGGTTAGAGCACTGGTCTTGTAAACCAGGGGTCGCGAGTTCAAATCTCGCTGGGGCCTGCACTTCCATTTTTATTCTGGGTGGTTACAGCAGCGATAATGTAATTACCATAGACCTGGGATACCCAGATTCAAATCCTGGACATACCATCTTACCATGAAGTGTTCTTGGGCAAGATGATTAACAATGTAGTAGATGTACAACGATGATCTGCCAATCTCAAATCCTCATAAATTGTATGCTCATTAGAACAGTGTCTTCAGATATCCTCTTTCTATAATTGTAAAGCACTGTGGTATATGTTGGCACTTTATAAATGCTTATAGTAATATTAAGTAGTTATGAAGGTGGGAGTGTTCCTTTAGTGTTTTTAAAACACAGTCTTCACTTATTTAAATGTGATGCGTAGCTAGCATATGTGGTTGCAATATATAATGTTCGGTGTATAATACTCTTTATATTTTATTTTTATACTTTTTCTTTGCTGGCTGCTTGTGACACCTTTATGTTTCGCTAGTTTCTTCCATTTAACCCTTTTAGGTTAAACTGAACATGTTTGGGATATAAATAGACCTTCTCTATGTATTTGTCTCTTTACACTCGGTAAACATCCTGGTATTGGCCTACTTACTTTCTGTTGTTGCTGGCAGTGTTCCAATTTTTTCCCATTATTTTAGTTATTTATGTTTTGCTCTCATATTCCTACACTATCTTCACCTGGCCTTGTTCTTGGGTCATGCTTGTTCAATTCTGCAAATATTTTTTTCCCTTCCTAACCCAGTGCCAGGATGAAGGTGTTCTTTGATTGGTCCCTGAACCAAAATGGTGTCCTCTTTGCATCTCAATCACTGCAATCACAGAGATATGTAAAGAAAACAGACCATCAGTAACTACATAGTTGCTAGATTGTGGTAGCCTGACAGGGTTTGGTCTGAAAAGGGTTGTGACCAAAGCAGAAACCACCACGAGTAGAAACTCAAAATGCAAGAAAACCAGAATACAAACAATGAACAGAGGAAAACAAATGTATTATATGCAAGAACACAAAAGAATAACAAATGCAAAACAGATAACTCAACTCAATCTAAGGAACGAAGTAGGGCCTCTGGGTACAGGGACAGATTAGTTTGCACAGGAACAGGTTACTCTGGAATACCTCTAGAGTGTAAGCTCTTTTGAGCAGGGTCCTCATCAACCTATTGTTCCTGTAACAATTTGTAATTGTCTAATTTATTGTTAAATGTTCCCCTTTTTAATATTGTAAAGCACTTCGGAATATATTGGTGCTAAATAAATGCCAATAATAATAACACTCAGGGTTACACAGTATAGCAGCTAGCTTTGGAAAACGCAGGCTAACACAGGATAGCAGCTATCTCTGGAATACTGAGGGTAATATAGGATAGCAGCAGCTCTAAAATACTGAATATAACACAGGATAGCACCTAGCTCTGGAACACTGAGGATATAACAGGATAGCCACTAGCTCTGGAACACTGAGGATATCACAGGATAACCACTAGCTCTGGAACACTGAGGATATCACAGGATAGCCACTAGCTCTGGAACACTGAGGATATCAAAGGATAGCCACTAGCTCTGGAACACTGAGGATATCACAGGATAACCACTAGCTCTGGAACACTGAGGATATCACAGGATAACCACTAGCTCTGGAACACTGAGGATATCACAGGATAGCCACTAGCTCTGGAACACTGAGGATATCACAGGATAGCCACTAGCTCTGGAACACTGAGGATATCACATGATAACCACTAGCTCTGGAACACTGAGGATATCGCAGGATAGCCACTAGCTCTGGAACACTGAGGATATCACAGGATAGCCACTAGCTCTGGAACACTGAGGATATCTGATAACCACTAGCTCTGGAACACTGAGGATATCGCAGGATAGCCACTAGCTCTGGAACACTGAGGATATCACAGGATAACCACTAGCTCTGGAACACTGAGGATATCGCAGGATAACCACTAGCTCTGGAACACTGAGGATATCACAGGATAGCCACTAGCTCTGGAACACTGAGGATATCACAGGATAGCCAGTAGCTCTGGAACACTGAGGATATCACAGGATAGCCACTAGCTCTGGAACACTGAGGATATCACAGGATAGCCACTAGCTCTGGAACACTGAGCGTAACAAAGGACAGAGGTACCTTGGAATACTGAGGATAACACAGGATAGCACATATCTCTGGAACACTGAAGGTAACACAGTATCTCGGGTATAACAGTACACAGTACCACTGACCAAGGTCTCAAGGAAACAGGGCACAAGAAGCAAGAGTTACAGTAGGACAGATACCTAGCCAAAAAGAAAGAGCACGTCTAAACTAAATAGGGAGAAGATAATTGTAGATTATGCTAAAGTAGTGTACCTATAATCTTAATTTTAATAATGACAGGATGCTTTATATTTTGCATAACTTTATTTACGTATGCCTCCAGCAGCACAAGTCAATCATAAAACTTAAACCAA